AAAAGAAGAAACTTCTTGAAAACGTTATAACAAAAAAAAATACAAATTAATTGGACATATTTTGCACTATTAAGGGGATTCAACAACGACGTTTAAAAGAAAAAAACGCTCCAGAGATGGCGTTGTTTACTGTTCGACAGTCCCCACTCTTAAAACAAAATCGCTGGTACTATCGCGGTCGGCAAACAGTTCCTAATAATTTCTGGAGCGTCACGTCATTCTATAATCGGCAACCGTGTTGTCGCTTATATTACTTTTACATTACACGTATATTCTACACATGCATGACTGTACTAGTTTGTATACTTATACTTATACTTATAATACTGCATATTTACGTTTTCTAATATTGTTACACATATCACATTTAAAAACAAAAGTGGATTTAAAACCATATTTAATTTCTTTAATAATTCGCATATCTTTAAAACTGCAGTCAAAAGGTTTATGACTATCAATCAATTTAATTGCATTAAATAAATGCGAAATATTCAAAATTCTTCTTCCGAGTATATCTGCATCTGTATTTAAATTTTCTTTTAAAAGAGAGGTTGAAATATTTAAATCTGAAGGTTGAGATATATCGTCAAGTGGTAAAGCTAATATTTCATCTTCTTTAGAATCCAAACAAGTAACTTTTCCGTGCATATGTGGTTGAAAGGGAATACTTCCATATCAAAAAAAAAAAAAAAAAATATGTATATTATTATTAATATAATAAGAAATTATTCACCACAAATATAATAAATGTATTCAAAATATTTCCAATTATCGTATGTATACAATATAATAATATACTTTAAAAGTTTCAAGTACCCACGGGCCACAAATCATATTTTTAAATTACAACAAAATGGTACTTTCGGGTTATATCGACAACTGAAATATTTTCTACATTACTTGGTATAGACTTCCGGGTTATCTCGATTAACACAATTTTTAAATAAAAAAGTATAATGTTATATATTATAACATGGGCGGATAGGCTTACCGGGAAACCGGGCATTTCCCGGTGGGCCCTCCTTCATATTTTTGTAATGGGGCCCTTTATTATGTAATTACTTACGTTAGAAATTTGAATTTGAATTTTGTCTTTCTTACTTTGTCTGTAGTTTTCATCAACGCAGATATATTTCCCGGGTGCTTTTTACGTCTAGATAGAAGCACCTTTGTTTTTTTACCTTTCCTCCAATTTTTTAAATTATCCATTATAAATTATAATTCGAAAATAAAATTTCACCATGCAGTTGAGGAATGAAATTTCAAGTTCATACCTCGATGAGTAATGACAGAAATACTAGTTATATTATTATATTATTAGTTATAGTATTTGTACTATACAATTACAATAGGTATTATAGCCATAGCCGGTTTCCATACAGCCGTAGAAGATAATATTGGTATTATTATTATTATGATTCTAAAAATATTATATTATCGATACCGCAGGCGCCACACTAGTCTTAGTTGTGAAGTAGTGTGAGAGTGGTGGGGAGTAGCGCGAAATGTGACGCACGTACAGTAGTTTCAATCCGCAACGTCATTAAAACGGTGTTTTTCATAAATTAATTATTGTTTCCGGTCTCAAAAGGCTCATAAGCAGTATACAACTGTGGGATTTTGAATAATCGAATTTAAAATCTGTAAAAAGATTTAAATTTGCCGGTCTGTCTACTGGGGATTGATCGAACAGTTTTTTTAAATGATTAAAAATCTATTTATTATCAACGTTTAAAATTACAGATTTGTAATATTTAATTACTAGGCCAGTAATGAATTTAAAAAAAATCGCCTCGATCGATCTCTAGAAGACAAATTGACAATTTCAAAACTTTTTTCAGAGTCAAAATCCGACCTTCCTAACTTCTACAGTTTTATACCGCGTTAGGGTTGATATTTATATCAATGTTGAATCCCCTTAACAGTCTACTTAGTAGAATAATAGAAAGTGTCATAGCAGGAAAAAATAGCGAAAGCGATCACAACTGGACTACATTCGTTGAATAGTAAGACTTGGACTGCAGACAGGGCCGGCTTTAAATACGATCAACGCGTGCGACAGCACAGGGTGCCAAAATCAGAAAGGCACGAGAGAGGCGTCAAAATTAGAATTTAATTTGATTTAATTTGATCAATTGTTGGTGACACAGATTATATTCTATAGATAAAAAAAAAAAATTACGATGTGGTCTAATATAAATTTGATTAATAATAAATTAACTATCATTATTTATTATTCTATTGACATGCAAGGATAGGCCGCTTTTGTAGGTACAATTACAGTTGTATAAACTATCATTATATTATTACAAGTATTACTATGTTTGTTCTCTGAATGATTTACAAATATGTGGCAAATATGCACGTTTAAAAAATTATTTTGAGCTTAGGTTATAATATGTATAATGAGGCCCCTCCAGTTAACAAAATTCTGCCTGTTTAAGTTATATGTTTAAGTTATTTAAGATGAAGGATTGACAAAATAATTCTTGCACTGAGCGCAGAAAGAGCTAAAGCCGGCCCTGACTGCAGACCATATTGCAAACTTAAAAGGGAAGCAGAGTGCGTGAAAACTGAAAAACTGTTAACGAGAATAAAGAAAAGTATTATTATTGTAGGTATTTAGCGGTTGAAGGAATCTCAGATAGCCATCTAAACCGTTTGAAAATACTAATACAAGCTTTGATTTAATTCAATATTTATATTTTGAAATGATACCTTGAAATTAATATTCAAGTCCTAATCATGCAATAGTTTAATCATTTTAATGAACCGGGATTTGTGTAACAACAAAACCATAAACGGCATCGTCAAAAAGCTTTCACACCGAAATTTTATGTAAACAGTAAGTGTCACATGTTTATTCTCTAGAAACCCTATAAACTGTATATTTTAACGCTGTCCAGATAACTGATAAGTTGACATGTACTAATATATGTACTGGTCCACTGGGCTGTCGCTGGACAACCGCAAAAGGATTTGCGTGGAATCTCAGTTTTCCTTATGTAGACGATGTTACCAATTCAAATTTAAATATTTCAGCGAGTCAGAATAGAACAATAGAAATGAAAGTTTAGTTATACGTTTGTGCATGTACATACAACTAAAGTATAATAAAATGTTATGAAATAGTTTCACGATGGAGAACTTGGAGAAAAAAATTAATATATTGTAACAGTAAATTTTCTATTCCTATCGACTACCGTGTGAAAAGTATAGTTTTTCCAAAACTTTATAAAAACTGTATACTTAATTATAATATGCATCGACAAAAAAAATTATATTAACGATGTCTTTAATAACACATTTGTAATAATCTTTTTAACGACCGTATACGCATATTGAAAGTGAACAATGAATGTCTTTGTACTAGGCCCTGTATGGTATAAGGATGAAAAATTAGAAGATTATTGAAAAATATCGAGAAAATGTATATTTTTATGACACTACTGTGGTGTTATGTACAAACGATAAAAAGTTATTATCACAAATAGTTCAGCTAATATGCTAAATTCCATTTAAACTATATTATACTCATAAATACACTATCCTAATGCAAAACACTGTGGAACTTTACTGTTGAAGTAAAATATAATTTAAAATCAGTAATTATTAGTAAAATAACGATATATATATATATATATATATATATATATCAAAATGCATAAGTGCATTAATGCATTAATCAACAAGTCAACCAATCTTTAAACAGAGATATGATTCACAAAATACACAAATAATTTCACAAACAATTCACAATTCTCAACCTAACAAAAATAATGTGAAACACAATTATTTGGTTTAAAATTTTAAACAAAACTATTTTGAAAAAAAAACAAATAAAAGTTAATATATGTTCTAAAAAACTAGGTTAATAGATAATATTTGAATGTAAAAAGTTCAAGTAATGATTTCTGTGACTAAATGCCATTTCAAAATGAGATATTTTACGGGCACATACTGTATATATTTTATTAAAAGCAATAAATGTGTGTTCTAACATATTAGCTATTTATATATTAAATCCATATTTTACATTAATAACTATTAGTACTCAAATAATTCTCTGTATCAATTATCTAAAATATTCTCCTTTAATTTGTTATAAACAAGTACAACATTGTTTATTATAAACCTAATGTTAACTCATAAGTTATAATTTATTCTAAAATGAACTTATTTCTACCACAAAACTTGCGCATACTAAAAAACATGAGTTGTGCAATAGGTTTTATGAGAAAAGATAAAATATACTCGATGAAAAATGTCATACGACTTATTTCGCTTCACACACATACACACATACATTTTACTAGCCATACACTACAGTACTATTTGGGCCATTTTAAGCATTCGACATAGTTAAAATTGTCTGAAGAATCCCAAAACGATACACGTGTGATTACACAATTTAATATGCAAATTAATTAAAAAGACAAATACTGAATATGTAGAAAGTTTTTTTTATTATTAAAATTAGATCATTGTAAAAAAAAAACTGTATTTTTCTGAAAACAAAATTACAACTATTCGATGCTCCGTTATTATATTTTATACATTACTGTACGGGAAATATAAATTTCATGTTTAATAACGAAAATACTAATATGAATATTCAAAAAAATTTTAAAAAAGTAATAAATAAGTTATTTTAAGAATGTATGATATAATAAACACATGCCCTTTATAATGTGTGAAGGGCTTTATTACACGTAGCATGATTTATTTTCTACCAACAAGTACTATGCAGTGCACCCTTAACATAAAAACCTATTTACGCCCATACAGCTATGTGAGTTTACTTTACTATCATTAATAAATATAATTTGACTAAAAATTATAATCACTGAGTATAAAAGAAGGTATAGACACTCGATAATAATAGGACTAAACAAAATAACTGCAGTAATAAATTGATTATACTATAAATATTAGAATCGGCTATATTATTTTACTCTAACAACATAAACGATTTTCATACGTTATTTTTTTTTTTTCAGATCGTGCATTCAAGATTCACTACCAGGAATAGCACACAGGTATATAAAATACATACATTTTTATATTGACACGTCATTGACATCTTATTTATATTATAGGAACTCTTTACAGCAGGGGTCGGCAACCTTTTGAACCACGCGGGCCATATTTTTTTTTCAAATGTTTATCAAGGGCCACATTAAAAAAAATGTTTACATATGATATATACTAATAATTGTATTGCTATTATATTTGATTGTTTTACATAGAAATATGAGTGTAAAAAATACAAATGTTACTGGAAAAAATTTCTTTTAAGAAAAAATTTAATTTTTTGACAAATTAAACATAATGGCTTACCTTTGTTTTCGATGAAAAAATATAAATCAACCCAAGAATTATTAAAAAAAAAGATGTTCATCACAAATTTTTCTTTTTTTAGTCACCATAATGTTTGGATTTACTTGTAAAATGAAACTATTACAAACGCAAACAGTCACACGTACGGGCGTAATCACGGTGTATTATTAATTGCTACAAACGCAAAGTAACTATGACCATAGATTAAATATATTAGACACATATGTATTAAATACATAGATTAAATATATTTAAAATTTAAATTTTTAAATATATATATATAAGTATATTTAATTTATCCTATGACGAGTAATGCAGCCATCATTATCTTCGACTCTGATTAGATAATAATAACAATTTTATTTATAAAGAAAAAAGAATTTAATAGTATTGAAAATTGTATGAAAAATTTATTGAACAAAAATAAAATACAAAAATTAACCACCTTTGTGCGGGCCATAAAAAAATTGCTTCGCGGGCCGCGGGTTGCCGACCCCTGCTTTACAGGATCACACTTATTGAAATTTTAAAACAAAACAAGTTGATTTCTATATACGTCATCGACGTATAGTAAGCACATCGTTTTTATTTTTTTTTTTTTGCGTTGATCTATGAATTTTTTTTTTTTTTTTTTAGAAAACGAATATATACAATCTGTATAGACAATACAATAAGTAATAATAATAACAAAAATGTACAGGGCTGTCAATGACGGCTTTAATGAAGGGGGCGTCCAGTAACGCTACTTCAACTTTTTTTTTTTTTAATATTTTTTTATTTGTTTAGGAGATCGCGTGGCCAATTACGCTTTAAGAGTCGGGGTGGATTATCCGGGATAGTTAGAGAAGATAGATTAGATATAAGTGGATATGAATGAACTAATGGGTTGGCATGACATTTTTTATAGTGAGTAGAAGCAAAAGCAGAGAGATAGGGAATTTTGAGGTCGTTGTGAAGGGTGTTGTTGCTAACGTACCATGGAGCTTGGGTCAACAAACGTAAATTTATTGATTGGAAGGATTGTAACAATTTTAGATTTGAAACTTTGGTTGATCCCCATATTTGGATGCCATAAATTATTGCAGGACAAATAAGTTGTTTGTAGATAAGTTTTATTGTTGAGTGTGATGTTGGAGCGAAGAAGGTGTCTTAGGCTATGGAGTTTTAATTTTAGGGATATTTTTTTAGTTTTGATGTGGGTAGCCCAAGTTAGTCGTTTGTCAAGATGAATACCTAAGTATTTGACGGAGTTGACAAAGGGAATTATATTGTTATTTAAAGTTAGTGGAGGGCTGATATTAGGGCGCAAAGTGAATGTGATGTGTGATGATTTGTTTTCATTTATTTTTATTCTCCATTGATTGAACCATATTTGTAATAAATTTAAGTGATTTTGAAGATTGTCAATGGCAACATTAATGTCTTGGTCAGAAGAACTTATACAAGTATCATCTGCAAAAGTGGCTAGATTGGTGAGGGTGGAATGAGGTATGTCAGCGGTATAGAGATTGTACAGTGTTGGGGCGAGAATGCTACCTTGAGGGACACCTGCTTTTATATGATAATTATCGGATAGTTCGTCTTCACATCTCACTTGGAAAGGGCGGAGTGATAAGAAGGAGTTTAGGGTTAAGTATAGAGGAGCGGGAAAAAATCTCATTTTATAGAGAAGACCTTGGTGCCAAATGCGGTCAAACGCCTGGGCTACGTCATGGAATACAGATGGGTAAAAATATTTTTTTTCTAGAGAAGAGGCATTGTTATCTACAATTCTGTGCACTTGGTGAAGTGGTTCTGAGTGGTTCTTTCTAAAGCCAAACTGAGTGTTGGGAATTGTTTTATTTTCTGTGATGATTGGAAGAATTCTTTTTAGTATAATTTTTTCGAGAATTTTTGAGAGGGAGGGTAATAGACTGATGGGACGATAAGAGGAAGGTGAATCAGGTAGCTTACCGGGCTTATGAATTAGGATTATTATAGAATGTTTCCACGTTTAGGGAATGTGGGAAAGACGAAGAATTGAATTAAAAATGTAGGTTAGGAGTAGGAGGGCTTTCTTGGGAAGATGTTTAATAATACTATTAGTGATAAGATCGTGACCCGGTGATTTTTTATTTGGTAAGTGTTTAATAATGAATTGAATTTCTGAGGGGGAGGTGTGTTTTGTAGGTAAAGACATCGGAAGAGCATTGGTTAACGATTTTTCTATGAAGGATATGTGATCAATGTCATTTATATCAGGATGAGGCGAAAAGTTATTTTCTAGGTGAGAGGCAAATAAATTTGCTTTTTCCAGGTTTGTAATAGCAAAAGTTCTATCGTTGTATTTGATGGGAGGAATTGTATTTTTTTGGTTTAGAATTTTTTTTTGTAGCTCTCCAAAGCTAGTTCGTTTTTGTTAATGAGTTAATAGTGTTGATAATTCTCACTGTTATGTTTGCGAAGGAGATTTTTTTTAAAGAACAGGTAATGTTGTTGTAGTGTCTTTTATCGCTAGGGAGATGAGTACGTTGCCAACGATTTCTAGCACGACGTTTTACAGCTAGTAATTGGGATAGATATTCGGGGAGACTTTTGTTGTTGTAAGGGGTAATTGAGGGTGGTGATGAATCGAGTGTGGCATTTTTTATAACATTAGTGAGGGCTAGGATGGCAGAGTCAATGTCGGAGGGATATTTTAGAGGAATATTCAGAGATATGTTTTTTTCTACTATGTGGGAGAATTTATTCCAGTTTGTTTTACCTGGAGTGAGTGTAGGAAATGTTTTTAGGGAGACATGTTGAATGTTTAGTGTTAACAAGAGGGGTGTATGATCCGACGAGAGGTCTGATAAATTGGTTAAATTATAATTGATGTGATAAGGAAGAGTGTGAACAAAAAAATCAAGAATATCAGGAACTCTGTTTAAATGTGATGGCCAGTAAGTTGGTCCAGGAGGAGAAAAGTGTTTGAGGTTGTTAGTAAGTAATGAGCTGTTAAGTGAGCGACCTCTGGTATTAGTTACTCTGGAACCCCATATTTGATGTTTGGAGTTGAAGTCACCTCCGGCTAAAAAAGTGTTACCAAGGAACTGGAAGTACAGTGTAAAATCATCATCAGTTATTTTATTAGCATTACCCGGTGGACAGTATACTGAGGAAATAGTGGTGGGAATATGATTCAATGATATTGATATATTAGTGGCTTGAAAGCATGTAGATTGGAAATGAGGAAGAATAGCGTAACTAATACTAGATTTTATTATTATGGCAGAACCAGCATGTGCGGTTCCATCAGGATGATCACAGTGGTATATTGAATAACCGGGAATACGGATATTTGAGTGTGGAGTGAGGTGTGCTTCACTTACTAGAATTATGTCTAACTTATTTTCAGTGATAAAGGCTTTTAGTTCATTTATTTGTTGCAATAAACCATTTGCATTCCAAAAAAGGATGGATATTTGATGAAGGATAACATGGTGATTATTTACCATCGTTGGATCTAATAATTTTATTGATAACTGTAGTTAGTAAAGAGATTAGAGGACAAATCAGGTTTTTTAATTCTTCGAGAAATGATAACAATTTTAGAGATATGTCTGGATCGGTGTATGAGGTGAATTTAGAGTAGTTGTTTGAATTTTCAGTGATAGCTTGGGCATATGATTTAGAGGGACCTGTATATGAGTTTGAAGTAGCGTTTACAATATTTGGTTTAACATAAGTTGATTGAGAGAAAGTGTTTTTTTTTATTGTAGAGAAGATTGGAATTCTTTGTGAGTTGGGCAACCTCGGTAATTTGCAGGATGATCGCCACAGCAAAGGGCACATTTTGCTGAAAGACTCTGGGATTTATTGCATGAAGTGGACAGGTGGTTATCAGCACAACGAACACATCTTGGAGGGTGGTTACAATAAGATTTAGTATGTCCAAACTCTTGACAGCGGAGACATTGTATTGTTAATTTGTTGACACGAGGTTCTTCGATTTTTATTTTTGTGTAGTACAAAAAACTGATCGAAAATATGTCTTTATTGTTGATGGCTGGCTCCAAGTCAATAAAAAAAAGAGGGAGAGGAAGTTTTGTGTTACGTTGGAGAACATTGGTGATATTTCTGGTTGTATGACCGTGAACAAGTAATTCATTTTTAATTTCTTCTATTGGTGTAGTGTGGTGGAGATTTCTCAGTATTACACGATACGCTCTATCTTGTTTCAGTTGGTATGTATGGAAATCTGCTTTGGAATCTTGCAGAAATTTGATTACCGAACGGTACGAATCTGCTGAAGTAGTGGAAAGTTTTACGCCGTTAGTTGAGCTTTTGCATGAGAAATGTTCACCTTTAATTAATTTTTTGATGGAGTTACAGAAAGCATCGAAGTCATTAACTACGCGAATGAATATTGGTGGAGGTAGCTTGATAACAGGTGTGGTTGTTTCAGGTTCTAAATCTATCTCGGTTGATTGGTTGTCGTTTTGTTTTTCCGAGGGCTCGGTGTAGTTTGAAAACAGTGAGAATCGATTTGATGAAACAAATATTTTACTTTGTTGTGAAGGAAAGTTAGGTGAGTGGGGGGCAGCGAATGTTTACTATTTCTACTATTTTTATTAATTTTCACAGTGAACCCGTCGGTTTGGTCGGAAATTTGTTGAGAAGTGACATTATTATTTGACACACTCTGTATACGAGATTTCTGTATTATTAATGGTGGGAGGGATTTAGATTGTTGATTATCTGGCATGGTGTATGACGACGGTACGTTTTGCCGGTAGATAACGGAGAAGCCTGATAAGGCTAAGTCTGATCGTGCGGGACTGCGGCCGCCCGACGACAGCCGGCCGTGCTATTTTAATATAACCGTGACGATAATAATTAGGTTGTAATAATTAAGTTTGTTACCTAATATGGACCGGAGGCGCTCCTTTTCAATGGCTTGAAGTTTGGTTTGGTAAGTCAGAAGAATGACACTTTGTTGAACTTGTGGAATGTTTTTTTTTTTAAAAACGGACTATAACTTTGTAAGTTATTACGACAAGAAGGATAAACAGCGAGACACGATGTTTCATTATCAATGGTCGTACCGTGAATAGCACATGATTTATAGTAATTTTTTGAAAATATGTATAATAAACATACGTAGACAGTTTAAACAATTTTATATTAATAATTTAAGAATACACTTACGCACATTTAAAATTCGATCAATAACGAATATCCTGTTGCATAAATATTATATAATTATTTTTATATTTTAAAAGTTTAACTAACAAAAAACATAATACATCGATTATCTAATTAAAAATATTAAAACATACAAATAAATAAGGTAAAGCAAACCATCATATGAAAATAATTATATTTTGTTCTTAAATAAATAAAAAAAGTTCATTTAAACTGGTACAAAAAAAAATGAGTTAAACAATAGTAAGTACTATAAGCAAAGAAATCGTACACCACAACGGATGTACAATGACGCAAATCAGAAGTCGTTGTTTGAATGCTTAAGATTAAAATAAATTTCATTGCTAAAATATACAAATTGAAATTTTGACTGTACCACATAATGCACAACTGTATTATATTTTACAGCCAAAATGATTTTGAACCAATATCAAAACAATATGGTACCAATAAAAATATATATATGGTACAAATAAAAATATAATTAAATTTGTTTCTTTTTACAGAGTTTTCAGAAAAACAGCTCAAAATAATAAGCTTTGTTTATATTTGGGCAATAGAGATGTAGTAGTATCGAACAGTTCATCCACAAAAATACATGGAATCGTATTAGTAGACCCAGATCTATTGAAAGATACAAAGAAAAAGGTATTTTATTCGTACGTATATTTTTAAATGTTAATCACCATATCTAATAATGATATGTTTGTAATTATTAACCAAAATGCCCACACGTTTATTTTGAAAAGCTATAGTAAATAATTATTCAATTGTACGCTTAAAAGTAAACACGACGAATGAAAAAAAAATATAAAAAAATCATTCCGGCAACCAAACTATCGAATAAACGCATAAATTAAATAATTGAAATATAAAAAAATAAATCACGGTTGTTATACAAATGTTTATATAGAAATTAATTCTACTTGGAAAATGTAATGTCTGTAATAATGTCATTGTTTTTATAATACTATACGGTTGTCAATCTAACTTTTGCTGTTCAAACATTTACTTATTATTTAGTTTTCAGTATAAACTTTATGTAGGCCCCAACAAACTTTACAATGATACACAATATATATTTACACCAAATATTTCTATTTATACAAACAAGGCAGATCGTTAAATTATAGTGACTAATATTAAACATTTTTCACAACAACGATAATATTCATTTGAGTTTCATTGCACAGTTCTGTAAATCAAAACTAACAGACATAAGTACCATCTATACATGGAAACATGAAAACACTTTATTGTGTATAACTTTAAATTCTGCATAGTTAATAACATTTAATTTGACGAACTGTTTGTATACGAGTACACGTATATTATAATCGAATAAAAACATACCATGAGTCGTATGAGAAAAATGATTCCATTTTGATTCTACTGAATAACGTAAGTCGTCGAAATACCAAATGCAAACTAGATCAACACTTAATTTAACAATTGTTAACAATATTACCGTAATAACCATCTGCAATCATTTGGTTAGAAAATGTGTGTACATGTATAAGATGTATTAAGTGCACACGCGAGTTTACACCATTCAAAAACACATCCCTCGACATACACTCACACGCACACTGCACACTGGCTGTAACACTGTAGAACGCGTTAGTTAAATTACTTTTGAGACCTATGTTGGCGTTAAAAGCATTTCAGCGCGGTCACGCTGAGTTTTACAATATTATTATTGCTCTATTTATTATTACTTTCCGGTTCTTTTGCGTCTTTAATGGATTTTAAATGGGGGGGCCCTTAACAAAATTCAACAGAACGACGGCTTGATGATAGTAGGAAAATAACGCTTTATGCAAATCTCAAAATCACTCTACACGTTGATAGGATAGTACAATCTATTTACATGAATACGTATAATCTTTGCAAATTATGGCTGAGAGTATCTGAGAATATAATTAAACATTATTTTAATTTAAACAAAAAAAAAATTGAATTATAAAATATTTCATATTTATGTTTTACCTTATTTAGTACATAAATCTTCAAAGTTTTTTTTTTAATAATTTTGTTTCCTCGGCACATTTTAATGGATACACTTCTGCTAAACGTATCGGTTTTCCGAAACAGTGGTAATGAATAAGAAAAAAGAATAAAAAGAATACAAACACCACGATTCGTTTACAAATTTTAATTCCATTGATAATGAGCGTTCATTAATACTTTACTCAGTAGTAATGAAATTAAATTTACTTTACTCAACCTATTCTAATTTACGAATGCCTTTATAATATTGCTATCGTGTGATATTATTTTTTACAACGAATCACTAAACACTTGTTAATAGTATAACAATTTTCAACGCAAAATAAGAGTGTATATAATATTTTTATTTCGTATATTTTCATCTGTAAAGGTATTTGGACAAATCACATTAACTTTCCGGTACGGGCGAGAAGACGAGGAAGTAATGGGGTTAAAATTTTGTAATGAAGCAATCATGTGTTTAGCGCAAATTTATCCACCACACGAAAATGCACTACGTGAACAAAATACACCGTTACAGGTAAATATTAATTCATACAACTACCATTATCTATGAATAAATGAATAAATAAATGTTTAATTAACATTCTTCTGTAATCATTGGTTTTTAGTCAATAACCGGTTTGTTTATATATTATGTTTTTAGTTTTATTGTAATTGAAAAATTGAAAATATTCAAAAAATATATATTAACTTATTTGAAAAAAATTAATAATAAAAATTCGAATAGATCTAATACGGTTTTAACTACCAAATTTTATTTATTAAAATTATTATTCGTATTGTTTGTTATTGTCATACGAACATATAATGATATTGACCTAAACCTTAACAAGTTTTCATAACAAACATTATAACAATTATAATAGTTATAAGATAAATAAAAATAATTTTTACAAGAGATCTTTAAATTTCTTTCCTCGCATATGTCCACTACTTTTTTTTTTTTTTTTTTAATGTTCAAAGCTATTATGGATAGTAATATTGAAAATGATAAAACCTACATAACTCATGACTTTAAAGCATAACTGTTCATTATTTTCATGTGTTCGATGTATGTTAGGATAGAAAAAATTAAAAATGTAATCTTTTAAATTAATAATTAAATATCTTTAACATCATTGACTATGATAACAAATATAATATTGCTAAAGTTATTTACTATTTATTTTTTTTTTCGTGAACACGTTTTTTATACGTGTGCATATATAATAATAAAATCACTAGTTAAAACAAAATATTATACCAGAATATTTAGAAAAAAAAAGTATTCCAGATACATACAAACCACCTTGCTCATAAACTGCAAATCATATAAATTTAATGAAATTTATTTTAAATTAAAAAAATAAATATATAAGTAAAAAAAGTTTAAATATTAAGTATTATATTCACCGACAACGTAGAACTTTTGACGCAGTATAAATCTAAGGTATACTTAACCTAAAATAATATATGAGCTATAGTATAGCTCGTTTAGTAAGTACATTTTTTCAACACAAACTCATCGGCACAATTCGTTTTTTTTCTCGTCCAACAAAATATAGTTGGTTCCCATCAGAGTAATGGTCAATATAATTGAATGTCTAAATACACATATTGTAGTTGAATACACGAGTGGGTGCTATAAAGATTGCAACAGTTGCAGCAATTGATATTGATGCTACACCCATGTAACCTCTATATTATGATGAATATAATACTTCATCATTATTATTATACACGTACTACAAATTTGTCCGACGCTAAACAAAACTAATTAAATACACAAGTCATAGTGAAAATCGTGAACACGTTTAAATGTTTTAGAAATATTTAGGTATCATTAATATTTGTGTTTTAGGAAATGTTAATACAAAGGCTGGGGAGCAATGCTCATGCGTTTTCAATGGAAGTAACTCATTTAGCTCCACCGAGCGTCCAATTAGTTCCTGCCAAAGAATACAACGGAGCTCCAATAGGAACTAGTTACGACTTACGAGTGTACATAGGTAAAAAAAAATTAGTGTAATTTTACAACTTATTAGTGTAATTCGAGTGTTGCGACCATGATTTGAATCTGAAGGGGGAGAAAAAAGTTCAAAAACTTCGAGTTTTCCAGATAAAACAAACATTAAAAATACACGTGAAAGAAAGTAGAGTATAATCCAAGTAATCAAGACTAAATACAAAATGTATATAATTAGTATAAAAGATATAATTCACCAACTCAGCAGTGTTATGGTAATCTATGTAGAAAGGTAGCAGTAATCACTCTACTTCTATATTTATGGATCGATTGAAATATGAATAAATTATTTTATTCACATTTGCAGGGCACTGATGTTTTATTTACTACCCATCCCTGTTTAAAACTTATTTGTACGTTTTTATACATTATCTGTATTTTTATTTTTTTTTATCCACTTTTAATTATATCTCTTGATTTAATCAAATGTTTAGAACTTTGCTAATGAAATCTACGCTAAACTATTAGAATACATTGACTATATACACTCTGCGCATATTATTATTATATGCAATGTATAATATTCATTAACATTCTGAATCTCAAAGGAAGGCTTTACGCAATCGTATTTAAATTAGATCAATTTCAGCTGAACCACGGGTCGTTTTAGTCCAATTAATCATTGATTAATTACACGAACCAATACCAAGGAAAATCACAAAATATTAAAGATAAAACTTATGTTTTCCGTAAAAAAACCGCTAGACCCGATAGAACACTTGATAGTTCTGTTTACATCAATATTAATTTATATATATATATATATATATATATATATATATATATATATATAAGTTAAATTATATTAGAATATACTTAAATTTTTAATTAAAAACTTTTACTCGTATACTTTGACGAACCACTACAAATCACTTATGTTGTTTCGTACAATAATATGCATTTTTGCAGCTGAAAGGGCAGATGAGAAGCTACAACGAAAAAATATAGTAAAAATGGGTATAAAAGTAGTACAGATGGCTTCAGCACCGCCACCGCCAACACCAACACCCAGGTCAGAACTACCTAAGGGATGGCGTCAAAGAGGACCGCAAGCTACTTCGGAAAAACCGTTTTTACTCAGTGATGGTAAAGTTACCCTAGAGGCCAACCTAGACAAAGCTATTTATACACATGGTGATCCAATTCATGTGAATATAAGCGTGAGGAACACCAGTAAAAAAGCTGTCAGGCGAATAAAGGTAAACATCTTAATTCGACCCGCCCTACAGATTTATTTTATTTTTGTATTTAAGTTACAACCTATGTACTATTTATAAATTCGACATAAATATATTACCAGCGTATTTATATTATGATAAATAGTTAACACCAAATTTTTAATTGTTCCGTGGAAGGTATACCCCCATATATTGCACATCACATAAGAGTGTGAAGTAAAAAAAAGAAAAATAGCAAAACATCAACTAGCAATCAATATTAAATACGCTAAATAAAACGCGATGCTGATCCATACCATTAGAAATATAAATATCAATACGAATACAATACAGTATCAAACGGTAGATTAGAAAAAAATGTATTAACCAAAAAAAAAAACCACAAGTCATTATCTATACCGATCGTACCCCTCTCCCATACGATGCATAATCATGGTGCTAATACGTGTGTGCACTATTGATTCATGTTTGTTGAATTGTATTAATTATGCACAGGTGTTCATTGTTCAACATGTTGACGTTTGCATGTTCAGTAATGGTAAATTTAAAAACACTGTGGCGTCGGAAGAATGCGCCGACGTACCGATACCCGGCAATGGAGGTTCGCTCGAAAAAGAATATCTACTTTATCCGATCAAGGCGAGAACAAAAAATTGGATCGCACTCGAAGATTCGCTAGGGTCCGCCACAAACAAGACGGAAGGCACGTTGTCCAGCACTGTGGTGTGTGTATCACCCGAGGATAGAAACGTTTTCGCCATTTACGTCACATACTACGTAAAAGTCAAACTTTTAATAGGCGCCATGGGCGGTCAGATGTCACTCAAATTACCGTTTACGCTGATGCACACGCCGTCAAACACTTACTCCTCCACAGGTAAATTATGGTTTTATTAATTTTTATTCTTTATTTTTTTATTATTATTATCGACAAGTATATTTAACATAATCAGTAACGATTAATGAATCACCCTCACCAAAATTATCGTAGTGAGCCCCTATATTTTATAGTGAAGGGAATAATCAAATGATTAGTATTTGAAAATAAAATAATCGAATAATCAAATGATTAGTAATCAAAAACAAATGAAATAAATGAATAGTAAACAAAATAAAAATAATAGAATAATCGAATGGTTAGTAGATAGTCGAATAAAAATAATGGAGTACTCGAATGACTCATGGTTTACAATACTTGAACTGGTTATATAAATAATCGAATGATTATCTATGAGTGTGAAATGTATTTTCAATATGAAATCTAAGTTACCCCAACCCAGCCTATACCAGACTTGGACCAAGCCATGCCTTAATATAAATATTGCGGATTGGTTATGAATTGACACAGTAAAATAAGCAGTTAAAAGAAAAATACCAGTAAAAAATCAAAGATCGAAACAGTTATTTCCATTTTATGAAAATATTGAAAAATAGACAAATAGATTAATTGGTAAATTAAAAATTCCTCTGGTTAAATGTAGGTATATTGCTGGTAGAATTATAAAATGGGTGTTGAACTATAGGAAACAAAATATAGTCTTGTACAAAACGACATTTAAACATCTCATAAAAATTATAAATTAAAAAATTAATCATTCAGTGGTAATATCAAATGATAATTAATTAGATTACCCTTTCAGTATTACATAATAAATAATGCAGACACCGTTAAAATAAATAAATTTATTTCCAGCCAAGTAAGCTAAATTTGGAATAATTTTAGTTAATATAATTCATACAATAAATAAATATAAATAACCAATTTTTATTAAATTTGAATTAATTACTTATGTATAAATTTTACAAATTAGATCATTTACTTAGGTTCCACCTTATATCACACATTTTATAGCATTTATAGTTTTTTTCAATTAGTGTTTTTTACACGAAGTTTACGGAGTGTTTTTGTTGGGATAATACAATACATGGACAGTCGCATTCTTAACTTAATACCCATTGACTTTAAGTATAAAAACAAAGAAAAGTAAACATTACAATTCATTACAAACCAAAATAGAAATATATCCATACACTTTTTTTCCGGTTTGAACCGATAGCGAAGAGGGACTAGTTTCCAGTAGCGGCTCGCAGTAAATATACTGGGGAGACTTAAATTATTTAACATAAACTCCATACAACAACGAACAAGAAAAACCCTTTTATTTAAAAATTAATTATACTTATTACTTAGTTTAATATTTACTTAATATTTTTAACTTAACTTTTAAATTATTGTATTATTATATAAATTATACATTTTTAAAACTCCATCATTAGTGTCATTCTGGTTAAATGATCGGCAAGACTATCCAGCAATTGCTAAAATTGCACTTAGAAACTTAATGGACTATCTTTCGACAACCTATCAATGTGAACGAGCTTTTCTACTATTATTAAAAAATAAATATAGGAATAAACTGAATTTTGAGAGTGATTTGAAGCTAAAACTCCAGTTATAATCTAGATATTGATTCCCTCTCGTGGAGGACAAGCAATATCAAAAATCACATTAAATTGTTTAACTCTTGAATAATCAAGATTTTATTTTTGATCGCATATTCGTATACAATAAAACAAAATGTTTAAAATTTGTAATACGTAGTTTCAATCGGGATATTTTAGTTCTTTGGCGGGACATCGAGGCAAAGAGCTCAATAATGGTGATAATCCCGATATATCGGACGGATGGCAACCCTCAATATAAGCAATTAACTCTGTTCTTCAGGTTCTTTTCCTATACCCAAACGTTCGTGTCAATTAATGTTTTTGGTTCAAGAAAATTAAATGAATAAATAAAAGATAAAAAAATATCTATTAACAAGTTTAATTAAAATGATCATGAATTACCATCAACCTACTGTCATAGATTGAAAACACTGGATTTTTAGAATTCACTAAAATTGAATTTAATTGTTTGATAAATATTTATGAAAATTAAATTATTTCAGACAATTATGTAATATTTAACTTTTTGATAAATTTATAACATGCAATTTTTTCGAATAATTCGATAATTTTAAATAATCAAATCCTTCGATTATTCCCATCACTAGTATTTACCACCATGGACTGTCACAATGTTTATAATTTTGCTGCATTACAGAATGCAAAGAACCTTCGTGCGCGTCGTTGGGACCCTGCCTGTTAGTCGGTAGTAAAGAAGCGACTATAACGTCGGATGAACAATGTGCCAACAATCTAGGACTCTGAGGATTAATAGAATCGGCCGATAATCGAGACATTCGTTCGACACCAGCCGCGGCCGATCAAAATGCCGAAGATCATCATGAAGACAACCGTTTCAAGTTTAAAAGAATTTTATGTTGTTTCAATAACTACAGATAGTGATAATGGGTCCAAAACAAGCTCTATGTTTAATTTTTTTTTCAAACATTTTTGTACTAATAATTACAATACAATATAGAAGTTTGTATTTTATATACACCTGAAAAAACCTAAACTAGGTTGTTCTGGAAATGAAGCAAACTTTTCGATATGTATTCGTAATTTCAAAACATAGAATTAGTATGTGGCTGTAAGAAAAAAATATTTTTAATTTTTCCTAAGAAAATAGCTTTGTTTAATTTTAAAAATTAGCTCTGTAGCACCATTAGTACTTTTTTACTCAAAAAATCATGTTTATAAAGGGTAAAATCTTGGGTAAAATTGATATATTTAAACCATCTGTATACAACTAATCAAATTCATAATTAACCTATTTTTGACGTTATGTCAAACTTAGAATTGACGGTACATAGGAGATCTATTCTCTTTTGTAATAATAGAAACTGTCAATTTCAAAAATTAAATCTTTCAAAATAAATGGATGTTATACCTGTGATCAGGCTATTTCCTTGCAGGGTAGAGTATTTTTACAATTTAAAAACTGTACAGTATTATTATAGACAAGCTATATTCTAAAAGCCACTGAAGCTCAATAATTTATTTAATGCTTCTATGTATATACATATGATTTATTCTTATAAATGTACCAAAACAAATAAAATTAAACATAATTTGTAATCAGACAAAAATGTTTCATAATCAAAGACTCTATAATTGCAATGCGTTCACTTTAATGTTATAAATCTCCTGAGTTCCATATTTTCTTTCTACATTAAGTATAATGTTTTACAGATACTTTTAATAAAATTATTTAATATATTATACATAAATTAATCTAAGAAAAATTATAAACTTTTAATGATTTTCCATAAATTTTCCAAAAATAGCAAATTATACTTGAAAAGCCACTTATATGTCACATACACAAATACCACAAACAAGTAAACACAATTAATTCCTATCAAATATAAATCATTATTTAAAAATGCTGAAAAATTGTTAAACCTTTAATAAGAATGGTTAGTTTAGACTACCTAAAATATATATATATATATATATATATTATATTTTAAATTTCTGTTACCAGCTTATAATTAAGAAAAAATTAAGATTAATAATAAAGCTAATAAAGAATACATTTATTACTTTAACACAAACCTGCATGATAATTAAAAAAATTTAAAATGATAATGAAGATCAATATTACTAAGAAATATAATGATTTAAGATTCTGACATAAAAAAAATGATAATATTAAATACCATTAATAAAATATTTCACATAAATCTAATTCATGTGTTTTAGAACTTTCATTGAAATTATCAATACAAGTATTTAAATTAATTGTTGACCACTGAATTCATTTTTTATAAATATTTCTATGTACTAAATTTAAGAAATGTTTATTTTTGATATGATAAATTTGTACATATTTTCAGGTGACAGGATATAAGATACATTCTCTAAAACATTTTTAAAAAAATCACTTACATAAAAGTTATATATAATCACCATATTCATAATATTTTGATCTAAAAATGTCATTTTTTTTTATGTGTTAACTGTTGATAGAATCAAAAAATTATTTAATGTATAAAATATCTTAATTAATTGTTCAGACTTTCTTTAATTTTAATTTTAGTAGAAAAATTAAAAAATAATGTTTAATTAATTATAATTATTTCTTTAACATTACTTCTCTAGACCTCTATAAATAATTCTCAAATAAACATCTACTGAAGTATAATAAGAAACTTATATATTCAAATACAGCAGTATAATATTTTATCAAATTAAATTAATACAATTCTAAGCATTTATCTACTTAAAGGAAATATGACATATAAAATATGTGAACAATTGTATTGCTAGATTAAACAAAGAACAGCTTGTATAGAGTAAATGTTTCAATTTTAGTCACAAACACTATATTTTAAGATGATACTAGAATAGGTACAGTTGAAAATTATTTTACTCCATTAATTATTAATATTTAATTTTATTAATTAATACTATAATAGTTGTGTCAAAATAATTAAGTAATTTTAATTATATTAGGTACTAGGTAGGTTACAAAATTGTTATTATTATTTTAACAGTCAACAATAAAATCAACAAATACCTAAGAATTTTTTTTAACATGCTATAAAATTATTAAATATGTAAACATTGATGACTCCCAGAGATCTTTAGTATAAATATTAATTCATTTGAAACTTTGATTAACAATCTCAAAACAATTTCAATATAAGTAATTTAACTGTTACCAAAAATGTAAATAGATTAACAGAATTGTTAATACTTATAATTTTTGAATTTAGATATATTGTAACTGTGAAGCATTAAATTGGCAGGTTTAAAAATAATGGTTTTTGTGTAAAAACATTTTTATGCAATGAAAAATTATTAAAATGTAAATGTCTTTTGGTTCGCATGGACATAAGTTTATAAATACCTAAATACATATTACAATAGTTTTATATAACCAACAAGTTTCATAAATCTTATTGATATGATTATTTAAACCATTGTACATATCAAAATATTTTATAAATACTATTTAAGTGTATATTTTTAATGGCATTATAAAAAGGTCAAGTCTTACATGTTACTATCATTTTTTCAAACACAATTGAAAGTGATTAGAACAATTTACTTCATACTTGATAGGTATGCATTTTTTCAATGTAAAACTAAACCGATTATTACAAATATTTCTTTCACAGATTTTAAAATAATTTATTATATGTTTTGTATACTGGTTTTTAATTTTTATTTTGTTGGATAATAATTTTTAGTTATTAAATTTTGTAAAAAAAATGTTATCAAACTCTGCGCAGCATCCATGAACTACATCACAAGAGTTATGTTAACTATTCCATACTCAAAACCATAATATATATTGTTCATTTAATTAAATCAAATAATAAAACACATGGATAATTAAATTGTTTACTGTTTAATGTTTTAATAACACATGTATTAAAGACTAGACCTTTAAACCTTTTTACATTTGTTTTGTTTATAAAAAAAAATACTGTGCATAATAAATGTTTAAAAATAAAAATTTTACACATACAACAATATTTTTATTATTAATGTTTTTCAAATAAATATGTCAAGTTAAACTTATTAAATGATTTGTAGTAGTAAGTTGAGTACACATCATTTAAAATACTGAATCAAATCAAAGGAAGCAATATATCATTGATTATGTATAATAAATGCAATTTGCACCGAGTAGGTATGCAAAAACAAATTACAAATGAAGAGACACAATTTCAAAAATTGTACTTGAAAAATATTTTGAATAGACACAATGAACATAATATAAATATTCAATGCCTAAATACCAGCCACAATACTGAAAACTGTAAACTCTTAATCAATATAAGTGTTAATTAATCTATGTGTAACAGAAAAATTGTGATAAATTACAGAAAATATAATTATACTTCAAAAGATAAATTTTTAAACATCAATTAACATTAATATTGGATGAGAGCCTACAGTATGAAACCTTAAAAATACAATTATGTACTTTGAATGTTTGAAAAATAAAAAAGACACATCAATACTATCACTAATTTTTGAATGAATGATAACAATTAAATTTAAATAACTTAAATAAATTCAATGATCACTAATTTGTAATAAAAATATAAGAAATAGAGAATGTGATTTTAATAAAACCAAATAAATTCTTACCATGATATTCGAAAGCTCGACCTCCACGTACAACATATTTAAATTGGTTAGAAGAGTCATTTTGATCCACCACCTTAATCAAAATATACTTGTAACGGCCTCTATTATCAATACCCACATTGGGAATCTTCTGTAATACTGATGATGACATAGTGCGTATTGACTAAAAATATACAATTTTAAAATTATACCAAAACACAATATTTATATTTTATTTTATTTATTATATTATTATAAAATTATATGTTTTATTTGATGAGTAGTAAATAATTGATTAGGACGATATTCAAATTGTATAATAGTCTTATTATATAGAGTACACAACGTTGTACACTGACGACTCAATGAAAAAACATTAAAAACATTTCTTAAGTAGAACTTGGTAATCTGACGGATATCAGACTACACTACTGCCGGATTAATGAAAAGTACGGATTAATGGAGATTCATATAAAAACGCATTTTTACATAATGAATTTTACATTTTTAATCACGTTAAAAAACAAATAACCTTATTAAATTTTATTATAACATATATATAATACATACATACTATGTTTAATTCATCTTAGTATGTAAATGTTTAATGTTTAAATATTTAATTCATCTTTTGAGGGGGCAGGTTTAAAAAAATTATCAATTTGTTTTTATTTTTTTGTTTGAAATTATGCTTTTAAGATATTTTCTTGTAGTCGTTTAAACATCAATATATCAAATGCATCTACTTCTCTTCTACCCATGTAATGGATGTAGTAATCTATAGCAATGGAGTGAGTTATTGTTTGAAGAGCTACTACTTCTCCCAAATTTTTAAATATTGTTTACGTTGATAATGTTATGATTATTTGCCCGGTAAAAATAGTTTAATACGGCAGGATTACTGGACATACCGGATTATCGAACAGTCAGATTACCGAGATTCCACCGTATTTCTGGTACTCAAGTTTTCTCTAAAAAGACGTGGTCCATTGGCAACCATAGAAGAACGATAAAGACTTGATTTTCTCTTCATCGTTTTATAAGAAATGTAATTTACATCCATAAAACAACGCATTAAAAATAATTACTCAATTAATTTTACGAATTTCAATTGATCATAAGACCATATCCACGACATACTCTATCATATAAGAATACCGCAAGACAACTAGATATGTAGTTTACCCGTGACCAATAAAATACCATATTACATTTATAAATACAATACTAAAATAAGTGCATATATATTATATACATGAAGACACTTATGTAATACATGATATGTGAATTTTATGAAATAAATTCTTACCTTGGCAGGTTGTATCGTAGAAAATGTTGGCAGTTTTTTTAAAAAAAACATTAACTTCGCGAAGTAGAAACACTTACCGGTAAATCAAAAACCTGATAACATTTATCAATTATCTATGGTACCACAGATTCATTCATTCATCTCTGATAACAATTTTTGTTAATTGATATTGGAATGATAAAATTGTATTCTGATATTTTCTACAAAAAAATAAGGTGTTTTAATAATCTTAATTTTTGGATGGGATGCCTACATCACGTAATCATTATCCGTACTTCAAGAAGTAAAACCCATTATTGGGAAATAAAAATTATAATTAAAAATAATAAATATTATTATTACACTATGACCTGATATAGATATCTACATCAAAGTTCTCTGGTCCGACCCAAAGACAATGAAAGTTATTTTGTTACCAATGCAAACTATTTACCAGTAATTAATAATTAATTAGAATTCCGAAGAAATAAAAATTATTAGTTATTACAGCGATTTTATGCCAATTTTAAAATTGTTTATAATGTTGACTATAATTATGGGTATTATCTAAAAATGAAGGATGTTTCAATTTATTAGTTAAAAAATTATTAACCGTAAATATTTATAAGAAGATCATAGATATACCTAATTAATTCAAAATCGAATAAAACAAAAAGAGTTATAAAATATATATCTATTTCAGTTGAATTATTTATAAACTTAACTGCAAGTATTTAATAAACTTCATACAGGGGCGTATTTAGACTTATTTCCAGGGTGAGGCAACTCAAATTTCAAGCTCAAAATTTACAAGTAAAATTTTTGGTAATATTTAAATCAGGTGAATCCTTAATAATTGTGTTTTTTTTTTTTTTTTAATCTAATGCCGGATCTACTTAGAATTGACTTTTGTATTATTTTTTAACCCCTGTATGTGTTTTGAAAGTCATGATTGTGTTTTATTTGATTTTTCACTAAGTTTTGTTGTAATTTGATTTTGTTATAAAATATGTATCTCACATATAATCAATTCATTAAATATGAATTCAGGGGGGCGATCACCTCTTCGCCCTCCCCTAAAATACACTCATGACTTCATATTCATATCATGGAATGAAAACCTTATAACCACTCAAGTATAAAATTAATTTAAGTTCATCAATAGAATTAGTAATCCAGAATATAAAATATTGTTTGTTTTTTATGGAAAAGTGTCCATGAATAATAATGCAAAAATTGCTGAAATTAAAACATTGATAAAAATAAAATATATTAAAAAACGAAATTATTTTAATAAAATTATAAATATGAAAAAAAGGATAAACATAAATAACTTAAAATTATAAAATACTTGTCAAGAACAATTTAATTCATTAAATAGTTTAATTTACCGTACAAGTAAGAAGTACACAAGAAAATGATACAATATATGAATATAAATAAAATGCATTTTAGTTATTTCCATTACTTATAACAATTTTAAAATCATGTTCTTTAATGCTGTACTTATTTTCAATATTACTAGATATGTATGCCCAATATGACCGACGTATAGGATCATAAACTGATGCTAAATCAGAACACAACTAAAATAAAATATAGTTAATAATTAAAATTAAATATTGTTGATATATTATTAATTAATTTTACATACTTTTAACGCAAATTTAACTTTTTCTACATCTTCCAATTCAGTAGAATTTACATCAACATCCAGTAAATCAATCAAACAAGACAACAGATGTATTGATCTATTTCCCTTATCATATAATTGTGTACAAAAAGTACTAACTTTGTCTTCCAAAATACCATTTTCTGAGTATAATAATAATCTATAGTCCAAAAGAAAATTATGAACCTTCCAATTAGTACTCTCCATGGTTTTTTTTTTATATGGATGAACAAATTTATTTTAAAATTACCCTCTTAGGTAATTCCATGCACTTTCATTTTTTGTTAAAATTTGTATTTTGTCAAATGTATACTTCAGCTCCTTATCAATTACATCAGCATTTGGATTGGACATATTTATAACAAAATAACGTTGGTTCCATGCTGAATTGTTTCGTATATCTTGAGATATTAAATCATCAACAAAATTCAACTCATTTTCTATTAAATTACTTAAACAAACATAAATTAAATATTAAACAACTTAAATATAAGTCATAATATAAATGGTAAATATTTATTTAATAAAAATACAACTTATTACAAAAATTATAATTTATTTTAAATCATGAGATCAGGTAAATGCTCAATAATTTAGAACTTAACTTTTAAGATATAATCCTGTCTTACCTGAATGTAGTAATTACCCACTGTCTATATTGCCAAGCATGGTAATTTTTAGCATCCAAATCTAAAATATCAGCAGTAAATTCTAATTCACCTGATGGATCATTTAACATTTCAACAATATTTTTACGATATTGCCTGTAAAACAAAAAATTATTTTTCATTACAATAACTCTGAATAATGTAGTTTTGCTCTGGGGTCAAAGATTAATTTTTATAATTATTTTTGGTATAAATGTAAACAATGAGAACAAATGTAAAATAATGATGTTGGAAAATTAAAAATATAAATAACACTTGTTTTTTTTTTTTGTATATCAGGCTAATTAATTATATATTAGACTAATAATATACTAAATTTATGGGGGGAATAAACTATCGCATTTCAGGAAAATAGATACTGTATAGTGAATCACAATACATAATATGAATTTATATTATACATACCAAACTTGATAATTTTTGGTGAATTCTCTGATCACATTGGATATGTAATCTAATTCATTGTGTAAGTCTATTTTTAAATATAAAACAATTTCTAATCTAAAAAAATGTATAAAGTGAAGGTAAATATAAAACATGGTTCATCGCAATATCTAACATACTACTGACCGATAAATCCAAACTGTATAATTAGCCGGGTTCAAAGTTATGGCATCAGTAACCAAATTAAGGGCTCTTTCAGATTTTTCTCCAGACTTAATAATTGCTCGGAAATAATCGAATACATCTGAAACTAAAAGACAAAGAAATAATGTAGTTCTTAGAATTTACCAAAAGCATAATATATTATTGTACATATTTAATAATATAACATTAATAACAATAAATATATTTCAGCAACAACACTTGTAAATTTGCAAACTTTAACGTTAGATCCCATCATAGATTCCTTGAGCAAAGTCCACAACTGATCAAATGCGTAATGATGTATGCTTTCCTAACAATTTTTCTCATAAACTATTGCATAATAAAAAAATGATAGTTTGAGGAAATGTCAACCCTACGGTTGGCCCGGTGCTACGATGTACCGCAGACAGATACCAACACGGTTGACGAGCCAGTACCACGGGATTCCGATGTGAGAGTACAAAAAGTACTGATCGTTTGAAACAACAACGAGGAAAATTAACAAAACGTCGTCTAAGTTACATTTTTCGGAGTACGCGATCCGAACGACCTGGGCCGGTCCGTCGTCTTGAGCCACCGGCTGCACGTCCTTCCATTCGGGCCGGTCACGGTACATCACATAGTTGCTACAGCCGTTGTTGCGCGACGGGTCGGTCTCGTCCGCCGAATCGGAACTGTCGGACTTCAGCTCTGGGCTTTTTTTCCGGTCGTCCATCTCATGCAATTTGAGTGACCACCACCGACGACGAGTTTTCTGCGCGCGACGAACCACACGGACGGACGGATGGTCGTACAGAACGGAACTAAAGGAATTCGTCGGTCTCGAAACTACGGATCGTTATCACCGCAGTCGCCGCGGTCGTGTTATCGGCAAATAAGGATGACCATACAACATTGTTATTATGGTTTCATCGATATTACGGTCTGATAATATCGAAAATATCGCATCGATTTTTTTTTTTTTTTTTGTTATATTGTTATATTTTGTCATAATGTTCTATGGTATTTGTTAATATTATGTATAATAGTCATAGGTATCACCCCGAATACGACAATAGTTTTCAGAAGAGAATTCCTTGAATTCTCCGCGGCACTCGACGACAATGTGTTTAACCATAGATTTAACTAAGGTCTATAGTCGAAAGGGGTATAAACTATAAAGCAAGGGTGTACCCAAAGGGGGGAGGAGGGTCCGGACTCCCCCATTAAAATTTCTATATACTCAACAATTGAATACAAAATAGTATAATAATAGTATATAACAGAGGCGGCCAAACTTTTTTCGGCTACAATCTACTAAAAATATACTTCACCTTTGAAGATCGACATTTTTGGAAATTTTTTTATAAACCAGAATAAAAGATAAAAACTATACAGATAAAACTTATCGACAATTTGTTCATAATCACCACGATTAATTTTCGTGCACGTGGCCTAAAAATAAATTCTAACACGATCGACTCTGAAATCGTCCGCGATCGATCGTTTGGCCGCCCCTGGTATATAGTTTATTTTAATTTCCCATTATCAGATAAAATAAAAATGTTGGACCCCCCCCTCAAAAAAAATTCCTGGGTACGCTCCTGCTATAAAGTATAAGCAAGCCGGGTGTATATGTATTTATTTATTAACAGCGGAAAGGCTTAAAGGTTAAAATTGTCACTTACATTTTTTGTTATTTAATAATAATATTATTTCAAAATGTTAAAAATTAAATAAATAGGTATTGTTAATTATTTTTATTCATCATATTATATTCATGTTTATTAAGTAGGGGTTTGTTTTATTATATAAAATGTTGATCTATATAGGCGGAACTAGACAGTTTTATTAGGTTAGACCAAATGAAAAATATAAAAAGTATTATTACGTAAAATTAACTATTATTTCCTATATTATAATTATAAAAATAAACGTCAAATGTCTAAATTAAACAATAACTAATAAAACCGATTATTCGAGTACATAGAATAGACTTATTATTATTACATTATGTTCTATTATAATCCTTATTTGTACCAATTGTACCTAGGGGCGGACTGAGTTTATATTTCAGGCCGGGAATATTTTTTGCCAGGTCAAAAATTAACAGGGGATCAATGATTTGATCATAAGTATGCAAAAAAATATAATAATGATAAAAAACCTTTTAAACATTTTTATGTAGATATATAAAATTATATATATAACATATAAGATATTTTTTTTTTATAGATACAGTATACACATTTTAATATAATACTTATATACTATAACTATCTCTTAAAGTAATTCTTTTTTTACATAATTAATTTTTTTTCATAACTTCACCAGTTTCTCCAATTCTGTCTGTTAAAATATCATCATACTATATTTTTAATTTCTAAAATATTATCAGGCCATTTAATCTATTATTATAACGGGCCACCGGCAGCGGCGGATCTAGGGGGGGGGGTTCAGGGGGTCAGCTGATCCACAGTTAATATTTGTGGACAAAATTGGCTTCTTAGAAATTTTTTTCTCTTTTTAGACCTTGATTTGGACTCTTGGACAGTTGGCCCATTGGAGTTACTTGAAAAATGAATGCCATGTATATTCAAAATTTAAAATTTTTCAATTCATAATTTATATTTTAAATTATATCGTTTTAGTAGAAAGTTAAGTAAATCATATTTTATTCTGTTCATTTGTTACGCTGATAAAATAAGATTATATTTATTAATCGTAAATAAGTCATTATCAGTGGTATCACTAATTCTAAAATGTAATATAAATATACTTGTACACTTTTATGAGCATATTGTTTTGTTTTTTTTTTTGCAAGGTATTATTTCTAATTCAGTTTTATCCCTAATAAATGGCCTCTTGAAATAGCTTAACTCACAGTTCCCCGACTCTGAATCCGCCCCTGGCCACCAGGATTTGTCCCGGTGTTCCGCCAGACCAGTCCGCACCTGATTGTACCTATATACTATATTATATTATAGTATTATATGAAGCGTACAAATGTATACGTCTACATGAATAAATATAATATTTATAATGCCTAAATAATTATTAAAATATATAATATATACATATTTTTCGTTAGTATTAGATCAGGTCATGGCTTAACTGGTCTGACCCGTAGTTTCACCAATGTTGATCCATTATATTATGTCATATTAAAAAAAAAAATTTCATTGCTATTTTTATTATTTTTTTTAAAAAAATTAATAGGTGTAAAATAATTTTTTTTATTACTATAAAATACAATATCCAAAGTATTTAAAGTATACAAGAGTATTATTAAATCATTATATGTGAAAAGCTATAGCAGTGCTTCTCAATCTTTTTCAAAGTACCGCCCTCCTAAGAAGCAAAATGTATTTCAACGCCCCCACCCTTTACTTCATTAAAATAAAAATAAAAATAATGTACATGAAATGTTTATAATTGAATAATAAATAATATAGATATAAATGTAAATATAATAAAATAAAATGTAAAATTTATATTTAAATATAATTTAAAAGGATAATTTAAATGTTTTAAAATGTATTGATTAGTGAAATGCTTGGTGATTCAAAGCCAATTTTTTTACGTTTGGTTCAAAATTTGTGAGATGAAGCCGTAAGTAAGTCTCCTCTTTTGACGATGTCTAGTCGATTTCTTTTTTTTGTTATTAGATAATAACGCACTGCCTTTGATATATATAGTTTATATTTCATAATCACGAATTTATTTTAGAAATTGATAAACGGAAAACAATTACAAATAACTCTTGGTATGTTGCTTTGAACGAAAAAAAGTTCACCGCCTCCTAATCGCCCAAAACGAGCTCACCGCCCTTTGGTACTCCTTCACCACCCACCGGGGGGCGATATCGTCCCCGTTAAGAAGCACTGGGCTATAGAAACCAAAATATAAAATATAACTTTGGCATCTACATGTTTAACTTATGGAAGAACCTATTTAAACCATCACTGTATAAAAATTAATCAGTCCCCTCCAAAAAAAAATCTTAGCTACGCCATTGATATGAGGTACCCATTTTAAGTGTTCGTCAGTGCTCGAAGTGGGAGGGATACGGAGAGATGGCATCCCTCTACTTATTCTGTCTAGAATAGCGCATTCCTCCTAAGACTTGTATTTTAAAATTATATACTTATTATCATTTTTATATTTATATAAAATATTTATATTTTATATTCATAAAAAATTATTTTTTTCGATGAAAATAATTGTTTTTAACATTCAGGACCGGGCGCACGGCTTATCGTGTTGTTTAGTATAAGCCGTTTCGCAACCTGTATTATACCCGTATTTAGAGCCACGGACGAAGATAATATACCTTATGTGAACTATAAAAAAAAAATAAAATATTATAAGTACACAAGGTGTGAAGAAGCTTATGATGATATCAAGAAATCTGAATTGTAAGGCATCCCTTCACTTTATCTTGAGCCATTTCGACCACTGATGTTCATCAAATATTACACCAAAATAAAAATTTAAATCAATGAAAGTCAATCAATGATTGTACAAGTGTAATATTTGTACAAAAGTTTATAAAACACCGAATGGTGGTGTTCAAAATTTAAGAAACCATTGAATAAACAAAAGTAAAAAATGAAATGATAATAATAGAATAATTCGGTCGACATTAAAAAAATATTAGTAAAAAACTAATATTAGGTAAATAACTGGTAGGTATATAAAAAAAACTTGTGTTTTTACAATTTATAGATTATAAGTTTTGGTTATAATATTCTAAATTTTTTATCTTATAAGCTGTAAATAAGGAATCTGAAATTCGTTTAAATATATAATACCTAATTATAAATTATAATAATCTACAAATTTATATAGATATATCGATATTTCGATATATTGGTCTATATAAAATTCCTTATATCGATATATTCTACGCCGATTTATCGAACCATTATCGTTTTTGTGCAACCCTATCGGCAATGCGTTTACGGCGTTGTCGCGAGCTATCACCGATACGTTCCGTGACTGCGTTGCGGTGATAACACCGTTTGGGTTTGTTAATTTTTTTTTTTTTCCCCTTATTATTATTATAACACTGTTGACGGATCCCGGGTGCAAAACGAACCAGCACGTTCTCATAATCATCACGTCGACATGCTCCAATCAGTTGTTACTTGGCATTTATGATTTCGCACGGTCCTGCTTGATAATATTGTCGTGGTCGTCGTTCGCACAATGGATTCGTTTCCGCCTCGAACCGCTACGCTTTTGTACGAATTAGACAGTGAGCACCACGACCGTTTTTCAAACCGCATTAATTTTTCCGTGTTATTTTTTATTTTTTTTTGTCTCGCAGAAAAGCTCATGGTTCTGTTGCGAGACGGCCGCACGCTCATCGGATACCTGAGAAGCGTCGATCAGTACGCCAATCTTCTGATGCAACAAACCGTCGAACGAATCCATGTGGGCAAGAAGTTTGGCGACATACCCAGAGGCGTGTTCTTAGTCCGTGGAGAAAACGTTGTGCTGCTCGGAGAAATCGTAAGCTGGTGTTTATAGTGCGTTGTCTGTGATTTATTGTAACTTTTAAATAATATTTTAAGGATTCCCTACAAGAAGCCGATCAAATGTTTGAACGGGTTTCGATAGGAGAAATCTTAGCTTTGCAAAAACAAGAGCAAGATGCCAAGACCGAAAAAGCTAAATCAATTGAACGGTCTTTGAAAAGAAGAGGTATGCGATTTCCTCCAGACCTTGTTCAAGATGAATTTCTCTGATGAAAGCCATAGTTTTAAGTTAACAAACAACAAACAAATGTTGATGCTTTAATATTTTCCAATTTTTAGAATTGTTACTTATTTGAATAATTTTGTATTCTAACTAAGCACTAGGTAAAGGCTGTTGTCGTAATATTTATAAATTTGTATAAAACATTTTTTATTTAAAAAGTAAAATATTTTGAAATGTTTAGTGTTTCCTTTCATCAAATTATTATTAGAAAAGATTGTAATTTATTGGTCGGGGGGAAAAACAAAAAACTGTTACTATTTTTTGAAAGGCAATTCTTACCTTAGAACACTTATAAAATGTTTAATAAATGTCATACAAACATTCGTCAAATAATTACATACATTCATTGAATATAATGCATGGATAATCGTTGAATCAAATTTTGTTACTTTTTCAAACAGTTTGATATTTTTATTATTGTTATTATTATATATTTGATAATTTTTAATTGATACATATCAATGAATTGTTAAATGTATTACATGAATACAATGCTATTATATTTCATACATTTTTTTTGATCCAAAAGAGTGTATAATTTCAATACCATTTAATATGAATTCAAATTCTACTGATGAATACTATATTTTTCTTATGATATAATCTATTGTTAATAGATAAAAATCAATTTTTAAGAATAATAAATTATTTGATTTTCGTGTATTAATATTATACATGCTATATGATTAATTTAAAAAAATATATATTAATTAAGAATCGTGTAGTTCTGTCCCTGACCATGTTTTTTCTTTCTTTTCTCAAGCATTTTATAAGTAATCTTTTCTTGCCTACGACTAGGCCATTATTTATTTTCTTCCTCCCTAAATCTAGCCCAAATGCAACCTCCACTATATTTTCTTGGAGTGTCCACCCCTTTCCAGATTATTTTATGTCCTTTAATTACCAGCAAGAGCACATATCCCTAGTTGTAAGGGATCCAACTACCCCCTAAAATTATTTGATGATGCATATATATGGTACCTATTGATTAATGTATACAATTAACTTATGAAACTACTACAGGTGTAATCCTTCTTGGTTTTGTAGCTATTCATTTAACATTTCAAGATTGTCCTTGATAAAAAAAAAATAAAATATTTGTTCCATTATACCTTTCTTCTCTTTAGCTCTCAATATACTGTCATATTCATTATTATCTGCTTCATATTATCCTTATGTAAACTCTAATATCTAATTGTTCTCCCTTGTTCTACTATTAATCCATACAACTTTTCTTGTTGTATTACTTAATTTTAATAATAATAAAGACACTTTAATGATATAAAATAAAATATTACTGCAGATTTGTGATGTTATAGAAACAACTATCAAAAGTAAAAAAAAATAAAAATGTCAATTTTTAGCAAAATAGGATATACAATAAATATCATTCTTCAAAAATAAAACAATTTTCCTAATTACAATAAGAATTTAAATTTATAATCATAGAACTTATTAATTAAGTCTATTTTGTGATAAAATTGTTTGGAATAATGATCAAATACTGTAAGCACTTTTTTAAATTTATTTTATATCTACATAATACATCTTACAATCACAACTAGAACTATTAACTGACCTTTTTTTTAAGTAGGAATATTAAACACTCCTATTTAGTGTAAATAACTTTTCAGCCGTAAAATTTAACATTTGTCTGAATAATTGTATTTTGCTGTAATTTAACTGTCTGTTCAGTTAATACTGAATATTTATTTTTAATTAAATATTTGAAAAATGTCATCTAAAATTTTATTCCAAATAATTGAATAAATAATAATAACAAAATACTATTAATAATATAGTACATAATATATAATATAAACTATAAAGATAGACCATTTTCACCGAGAAAAAAATCGTTGAAAATTGTATCATATTATATTATTACCAAAACAATCTATTGAATCTAATATAAATAGCATAAATACAGAAATATTTTAAGCATTTTTATTTGCTGAAATTTGAAATACATGAACAATAAAATAAACTAATATAACAAATATCACATAAACAATATATTAAAAAAAAAAAATTTAAAAAAATAACTTAACATTTACATTAATAGTATTACTAGCATACATTATTTATTATAATTATGACACATATGACCAAATAACGTGATATAGTATAAACTACATTTTTGATCTTAATCCACCATATAAATTAAGTTATGTAATTATTTCTATTATAATTAAAGTCCATTTTGTAAAATATGATAAGCAGCACCAAGAGCCCAACTTATCTCATGTCCGTCAATAGTGTTCAATAACTAAAAAAAAAAAATTAATCAGATTAGGTCATTCATGAATAATTATATAAATTATTAACAGTTCAATTGAATTGATAATAACTCACAGAGATTGAAGTTTCATAAGGTAACCCAAACCCTTGTTCTAATAATACAGAAATATAAGCCAAATCGAGACATTTGAATGGTCTCAATTCGTTGTAATTTGTATTAGAACATTCTGAAAATAAATAATTATTAAATAATTTAATGAAATTAATAATCAACTATAAATATATATAAAATAATAATAATACCCTTTTCTGCTGCTTCATAAAATGATTTCACAGTAACATCACCTCCTTCTTCACCTAAATAATGATGTTTCAATATGAAATTATAGATCCCATCCAAACCATAGTATTAAATATAATATTGAATAAGATTTCATTATATTAACTTACCAACAAGTCCAGCATCTTGAGCTCTGTCATAAAAATATGAAAATGCAACTATTTTTTGATTACGGAGATCTTTAGGTTTGTCTGTGTAAACAGTTTTAACCACAGCTTCAATGATACTCTTGCAAAGCTGATAGTCAATAGCAGGACCTTTTTTTGATGGTGCTCCTCTAATATGAATAAATTTAAATAATTAAATTGCGGAAAAAAGAAAGAACCACACTTTAAAACTATATAGAAAGGTAGAACTTACGTAACATGGTATATCTTCTGAGCAAAGCTATAAGGTGTTCCTTTGGCAGCTTCTTGAACACATGGACTAGTGACATTTAACGAATCACCATTAGCAGTAAATACGCTCTTTCTAGCAGCCATTAATCCCAAACCTAAATAACTAAAATATTTAATTTAGTTTGTTGAATATAAATTTACTAGATTTTCATTAATACATACCTGTGACTATACAAGTTTACTTTTTCATTCATTATTGAATATTCTGTAATAAATTCTGGCAATTCTTTAATAGCTTGTTTACTGTTGGTAGGGATAAAAGTAATTTGTATAGATCCTCCACCTAAATCAAGAGCAGCTACTGTATTTGTCAATTTGCCATTCAGACGATCTAAACAATAAATACATTTTAATAGTTAATAAATAAATATAAATGCCAACAATCTGAGAGGAAAAATTTTGTATTCAAGGCATGCATTTAAAATCAAAACTATTTTTGCTAAATTAAAAGTATTTCGTATTTTCATATTTTTACTTCTAACGATAACTAACCACCTGATTTATAAATTTAACATTGAATTAACAGGATTGATGTTTTACCATTCTATTTTTTTAAGTAAAACCAAAAATTTAGTTAACAAAATATATAAAATACACAATATTAAACAATGAATGGTAAAGAAAGGATATTCACCTATACATAATTTGAACAAAAATATGCTACATACGCATATATATATGAGTAGATATTTACCAAGGAGAAAATTGACTGTAAACCATGAAAAAAGACCCTCATCAATACCATCCATTATAGCCACTGAATTTTCATTTGTATAGAATGGATTATGTTCAAACAATAGTCTTACCTAAAAATAATGACTATTATAAAAATATATTTTATTTTAATTATTCAAGACTAAAAGTACTTCATTCAGAAGTCCATCTGCTTTTGCTGTTGGTAGTAATCTTAAACCAGCCGTTGCTCTCATTGCTAGAGGTGTACTTTTCCAATATTCTTTTGGCACAAAATGTTTAGCCTTGGCTAATAGCTGATCAATTGACTCAGCTCCTTAAGACAATTAATATTGAATATAATAATTAAATGGCAAAATAATATACATTCGTTCGACAATAACACTTACTTTTTTTGGATCATCAGCAAAACTTGATAAACCAGGTTTTACTTGAATAAATAATTCATCAACTAGTTCTAAAGAACCACCTGTAAAATAAAAATCATTAAAACATATTAAAAGGTTTTGAAATTATTTTATTTAAAATATTCTAATATTACCTGGTATTTTTTTAAAAGCTAATGCTAATACTCTAGAACCAGTACTTCCTGCGTCGATAATAACTGCATATGCAGGCTCAGGTGTGGGTTGTGATGGTTGTGTCTTAATATTATCCTTAAAAAAGTCTGATGCATAAATAGTGTAATAAGCTAGAATTTGTAAAACGCAATTCATTAATGACATATCACAATACAGTATATTAAGTGAATGATGTACTCACAATATATTCCTACAAAAATTATAAAAAAGATACTGTACAGTAGAAATTTACTTTGATTCACATCTACTTCAGCTTTATTTTTATCGTTGTCATAAATATCATCATCATTTTCAGTAATCTGTAAACAAATATTTTTCAATACTTTTAAGTCAATTTTAAATACAAGTAAAATAATTTAATAAAATTAAGTCTTAAATTATATTAAGTACTATACACATTTTTAAACTTCAATCTTATTATACTTTTTAATAAAACAGAAATATATTATTGAAGAAAACAATTAAAATATAATTATTCATTATTGTTATTATGCAATAATAGTATGATTAATAACAAATCAGTACCTAAAATTCAAAATTTGTAACTAATCGAGAATTAAAATTTAAATATATAATGATTAATAAAGTTTTAAGCCCCTAATAAAAAATATATAAATTTACTTACATATTATTTAAAAGCATTTTATTTTAAATACAGTAAAACTATACACTTTAAAAATAATTTAAAAATGTATTCAATGATAAAATAATAAAATTATTGTTAAAGTTGTGTGATTTAACATTAATATGTTTTTACATAATTAGAATTAATATACTTCAATGAAAATAATTTTAAAAAAAACCAGTCATATTTATTCCATGAAAAAATCTGATAAAAAATTATATAAATTACCATTTAATTACATAATATTTTATCGTTACATAATTATTATACAATTAAATCGTTTATAACTCAATAAACACATTAAATAATATTGTTTTCAAACAACAGGAATGTTTTAAATAACTATTTTATTTAGTGTAATTATATTTATATATTATAGCAAATCTAGGTAATTAACTTTGAAGGCACACATGTTAAAAGCAGTCAAAATATCTGTTAACAAACAAAATATTATTATGTAATGAATATTATTTTATTTTTTTTATCATTAAACAGTCAACATAAAATAAATAATCTCTTATATATATATATATATATATATATATATATATTAATTTAACTAAGTACTTAGTTGCAACTTAAATAACAAACAAAATACATATTCACATTTAAATATATAATGATTAGTTAAGTTTTAAGCCCCTAATAAAAATTATATCAATTTACTATATTATACTATTATTATATTATACTATATTATGTTCTTATAAACAATTTTGTACATAATAAATATAATAGCTGAGTTATATGACAATAGACAACATATGTTACTATAATTTAGACATTTTTAAGTTTAATTTTTGGAAACTTTTTGGATTTTTTCTGCTGTCCCTTTTCAGACATTTTTTTTCTTTGAGTTGGTGTTATATTAATACATATATTATTATCGTGTATCTATCCAGGAGTATGACATATGTAATTTTCACTTTAATATATATATATATATATATATATATATATATATATTATTTTCTGTAAATTTAGTATTATTCAATTCCCGAAAAACCATATTCCAACGTTATTCAGTAATAATTATTGGTATACTACAAAGATTATTGAAAAAATAAAGTGTGCTTTTTGTTCTTTAAATAAATTAAAAAATAATAACAAAACTTACATTTTATAATAAAATTTACTTTTAATTCAATAACTTATTTAAACCAAAAATATTTAGGGTTCATTTATAAGCAATTTCAAAAAAAATTTTACTGACCAAATTTAACTTTCAACTAATTATAATTTAGTTACTTATTACTTACAGTTTTTTTTTTTATAAACTGTAAACTGTTAAAGGAAGTTAAAATGTGAAAGTATGAATAAATATAATTTTAAATTTTAGATATAGGGCAAGCAAATGTGTTTTTGTACTGCTAAGTAGTATGCATTTATTTTTTCACATCTTGTCATATCAGCAATTATGATTTTTGACTTACATAATTGTTTGAATCTTCATCAAGTTTATTTTGCTCTACCATATTGTGTAACCAAATATTAATACTCTTTTAATAAAATTTGGACAAGTAGAAAAAAAGTAACTATAATTAAATTAAAAATTGTACGATACATACATCAATAATTTAAAAATTAAATTAATTAATTACAATATATTTTTTACCAATAAAAGTAGCAATAATCAAGAGTATAATTATTAGCAGCTGTGACAATATTTGTATATTTTCTATGATTCATATTTTGTACACCATACAAATTTAAAATAACAAAAATAATTTGTAAAACTTTATTTAAATATACAGGAATAAATAATCAATGCATATACTCAAAGGTAAATTACAATTTTTAGAAATTAGTAAATGGTTAGTTATTATTAAAATTGATACATTTTATAGTAATTTTATAAGTTAATTTAAAATCAGACAACTCTAATTAAACATTTAAAATATTAAAGATTTATATTTTAATTGATCAAATTTTCTGATAACTTTGCAAGGAATAATTTTAAGTTTTGCTTTATGTTTGCTTGTTAATAAAGTAAAAAACAATAATTAAAAATGTTCAAGATTTTTACATTGAAGTTATGAAAAACTTTGAAATTAAATGGCAACATTTTAAATATTAGTAACAAATTATAGAATAAATAATTTATTATAAGTAATACAGATAAGTATACAAATTTAAGACAATATGATTTAAAATATTATTGAGTCTAACATTTTTAAAGGAGTGTACGGAGACTAACTATATTATATGGTTCAGTGTTAGGTGGTTGACAATACCTATTTATTCACTATGTTTGTATATTCTGTCTTAATTTACAAGACTTAGTACTTTTTTAGGAATATTTGTTTGGCAAATAAATTAAATTTGGTTAATGTTATGATATTCAATAATTTATTCCTGAGATTAATATTTGATATATTCATATTAAGTTGTTACTTAACAGTTTTTCAGTGTTCAATTAAATTAATTTGAATGATTATGTAATACTTAAATATGAAACCTGTGGGTAAAAATGTTAACAACATAATAAACTTTATGCGTTCAGTAGGTACCTAAATGTTATCAAATGCAAATATTAATATTATAAATAAGAATATAGTAGGTATTAGGTACCTAGTTTTTAGATAAGATTATTACTAAAAGTTCAATATGAAGACCAGGTGACATGTAAGTTATGATTTACACAACACACAAACATTCGGTTTACAGTATTATCTACACATTATCTACCTCCAACGCTAAACTAGAAACCAATTCCAACTAGGCAAAATTACAAAGAAATAACTTCAATGTAAATATGATGATTATGCAATTAATGAAGTCGATGATTGATCGATAATATGTACAAATTATTTGTAAAACATGAATTGACATGAGAAAGGAATCAATCAACAGGAAAAAAAGAAGAAAAAAGATAGAAGTGGCGATATGAAAAAAAATAAATAGATTTTGAATCACACAAACCTGTTGTTTAGGTTTTCTAGTCGAGGGTCTTTCCATTTCTGCGTGACGGTGACTTTTACACACTGAAACGTTGGACGAGATTTTTTGGATTTTTCGACGAGAAAACGATTAACGTAGACGAAGTAACTGATGCGGTAGACAGAACGGAAAAAACCATAAGCTTACGTTATAGTAAGTGTCGGTCGGCTACGCGAAGTGACGATGAATAAAAATCGTAGCCCGCAGGACAGATGTGACTGAGAATAAGATCTACGAACGAAACCGTGATCGACACAGCAACTAAAGGTCGAATCACGATTGCCGACTTGCCGAGGTCGTCCGCATAGTAGACGTTATCATTTATTATTATTAATTTTTTTTCTCCCGTAATACACTAACGAACCCAAGGTTTGTAAATTATAGTAATCTATAAACTTTGTGACGAACTGCGATATCTAATCTTATACGTAACTCGACCCGGCCCGGTTGGTTATTCATCGCGCGCACCGCCGCTGATAAGTCAAGCCAATACGACGATAGTTATTCTCAATCAGTATCGTGATAATACCAAGATATAACGAGATAATTCCCATTACGTATTAAACTTGTGAAATGTGAACATTGCCGGGACGAATGCAAGAAAAAATTTTGTACGTGGGGAGTGAACAGGCCTGTAGCCGAACCAAATCATCAGGTGGGATAAACCACATTTTAGAGGGGGGGGGGCAAAAACATTATAGTGCATAACATATCACTACATAATACATTTGCATATATGATTAAATATATTTAATTCTTGTTAGAGAGGCAAAGAACAGGTGCAAGCGGAAATTACCCCATTTCATCACACTGACTATGGTTCAGGAGGAAGGGGTTTAAAAATTGTATAATATAGATAAATAGCATGATTTATTACTTATTATATAAATATACCTATTTAATTTACAATTCGCATGGGAAAATTGGAAATAACTATTAAGCTTGTAGGTCAGGTCATTTTTTATATTTTTCTGATATTTTTCATCGTTGATGTGTTTATTACCAACGGGTTAAGTAATCAATAAATCGACATAAATCATCTCAATTCGTGATAATCGAATTATTATAATGTACATATGCTCTGTGCGCGGACGTATAATTATAATATTATCGTTTATCAGTGCCTGAAGTGCTCTATCAATGTCTTCAGACCCATATCTTCAGGACCCAGTGAGCAGGACCGTTGGCAGAGGCGACACCGGAAGTGACCCTGAACCCATCTCAAAAGTCTGCTCCGCATAATATGTTCTAATACTAGTATGCTGCACTCGGCTATTTCCAAATACATATTATGATAGAATAACGTTTGTGTAATTTTTTTACCATATTCCATAATAAGATAGGTATATATTGGCCTACAGCTGACCCAGAAAAAAATCCTACCGTCGCAACGGTTCCCGTTTTTTTAAACATAAATATCAAGTATTCTTTTCCTTCACTTTTCTCCCAAGTATTTAAGATCGGCCAAAACATAAAGAAACATAAAAATCAAATATGACTGAAGTATTCAAATCATGTCTAAGAAAAAAAAATTTTCTAACATTTCTTAAACATCATAATTTGTTCTTCTTCCTGGGCCGCATACCTATATCTTTGGGACGTCGTTTAGTATAATCATATTATTTCTCAGCTTGAATAGATAGGAGTGAGGTTCTTTTAGTTTTGTATTTTATATAAATATATAAGCAATAAAATAGGCAACAAATCCAAGAGGCCCGTAATGAAAGAAGTATATGTGGTACAACCTGACCACCATATATTTATAATTGTTTAATCACTAGATTGCTATGTAGTGATTATTTATTATTAACAGCAACATATAGATTTGGAAAAAATAAGCATTTTCTGCAGGTGTTTGGTGGGGATAAGGAAGTAAAATTAATTTAGGTTTATGAGAAAAATATTTAAATTACAAATTAAACTGGTATAATAAAACAGTATAGAAATACTGGTCCAAAAGTTTTTTCTAGAAACTTTTTAGATTTTAAATTCGCATGCGGTGGTACTTTAAATAGGTAATTTTTTTAAAAATCTTAATAGTTTTTCTAGGCGTGAGGAAAAAACTATCCTGAAAAGATAAAAATACGCTGTAAATAAGACTCACTTTTCATATTTTAGTTATTTAGTCAAAATGTATTAAAGTTTAATACATAAAATAACATACAAGTGTGAATTTCTACATCAAAACAATACAGAGTTCAGCACACCTACAGTGGATGATCGTCGTGACTGAACTGTCGTCTTTTACATATTCGACATTAACCGTCGAAATCACAATAGTGATACATGATGAATGCCCTAGTTGGAACGTAGTGTATATTCAGTCAATATACACATTATATGTGCAGACCAGTAACCATGTAACAATCGTAACATTATACTATATATATTCATCACGTTATTAAATCTTATTAATCATTTTCAATAATAGTGTTTTTTAAATTTAATATTCTATTTATTTGTTCAATAATGGCTTTTATACATTGTAGAAGAAAACACTTATGTATAATTATAAAACAATTATGTATAATTATTATAAATTAATTTAATGTACATATAAAATGTCGAAAAATTGAATAGACTTGGATTAATTAGGTTTTCGTGTAATGTTACCACATCAGTGGGTTCAACGTTAAATAGGAGCAAAACAAGAATAAGACGTTCCGAAGAAATTCCTGGCCATATATAACCGCTATTCGGTTGAAGTGCGAATGACTTTAACGATTCTTAGGACGTCGCTTCCCAAACGGTTTCCGTCTATTGTTTTATTATTCCCAAACGGCTCCCGTCAGAAAAGGTTTTACGAATAGGTCAATACCCAAAAGACTCCTGTCGAAAAAGGTTTTACAATCAGTTTTCGGGTTACTGTTCATTCTGTTTATCTTATAATTTACAGGACCGAGCATGGCTGAAGTCTTTTGAGGTTTATCATACTCTGTTTGACTATTTGGATTTTTGATTTCCTTTTGTGTGTACTGCTCCTCCTGTGGAATTCCGTTTACATTAAACTCGATTTCAGTCACGTCAGTTATTTCTACGATTGATTCCACTATCGATTTCGTTATTTGTTCTCTTAAAACATTCAATAGATCATTATTGGTGTCGGTGATGTTGGTTTCGGTATCAATCATATGGTCCTTCTCCAAATTGTTTGATTCCACGTGACAGGAATTTTTTCTTGAAGACTCGTCAATTATCATTGGATACCCGGTGACCATAAATGTCTGTAATAAAATATAATTGATTGAAAATCAATTTGAATGCATGGTAAATATAATTAGGTTAATTAGGTTAGGTTAGGTAAGGTTAGGTAATAGTTAGGTTAGATTATATTTACACTATATAGATACATGAGAAAATATATTTTCATAATAAAAAAATACATGGTGGTTATGATAAGCGATGGCTTTGTCATTTCAAAAAAAATATTAATAGTAATGTTCATCTGGTATACACAGATACAATTTGGTATATGCTTTATTCATTGTATGGTTTATTACTAATACTATCGATATTAATATTTGTAATTTAAATATTTGTGTAGTTGAAAAGTGGTATTCAAAATAAATGTAAGGTTTTGTGGAGGAAGAGGGGGGAGGCGAATCCCTCCCCCCGGGTCTGTGTTAAATATTTGCACACATGGAACGCAATTTTTAAATTGTTAGAGTAAGCTCCTCTACTAAATTTTTCTCAATTCGAGCACTGATAACAATTATAAAAAAATGAAATTTTATATTTTCTTATAATAATTTTGATGAAAATATGTCTTATTTTTATTTTGAATTCAATATTAATATTATTATTATTATTATTATTACTACTTTGAATGCAGGGATGGCACGAGGAGGTGGGCAATAGGGGCAGTTGTCCAGGGCCCTGCGCCTTAAATTATAATTAAGGCTTCGCGGTTCTGATTAAACTGAACTTAAAATATTTTATTAATATAAATTATAAGACCAAACATTTATTTTGTCCAATGCCTCGCAAACTCTAGCACTGTTTGTATGTACACTAATTTAGAGAATTATAACTATGAATTTAATTTTATAATTTATAATTTATTATAATGAACGGGCTGGAGCCCAATAGTACAATACAATATTTTAATAATACATTTTAACAAATAATATAATAATTACGTAAGCAAACGCCAATAATTCAATGGAACAAAATACAAATGGCAAATATATAAAAACAAAAATAAAATATTAACAAAAAATGAACAAAAGGTAAAAAATAGGAGTACAGATTGTAGTACTTTTAATAAACGTTTCAGAGAAGCCTAGGTGCTCGTTACAAATACGCATCATACAGTGAATAGGATTATTTCTATCATAGTAGTTGGTGCTGTGGAATTAAACAACAAAGGAAGTTTAATTAAACTATTAAACTGAGTAGGAACTTAAAATTAATTAAAGAAAGGAGAAAGGGAGCATCCACACGTCCATCAGCTTATGTAAAAACGCCAAATTGGCTTAAACTCTTTTATCAGCTAGAGACAAGAGTTAAAGATTATTCATTACTGGCCTATAATCATGCGATAGATGTAGAATTTGCAAAATAAATGACGCCGAAGAACAAAAACGCCTCTGGACTCTCTCAATGCAAGAAGAGTCAGCAGCCGTAAAAGGGTCCCAAAGAATGGAAAAATATTCTAAAAGAAGCCGTACGAGAGAGCAATATAGAGCTTTGAGAGAGCTAGAGAGCTTAAATTCTTTTGACGTGCGTATGACAAAGCCGAGCATCTTTAACGCACGACAGCAAACTACCTCTATATGGTAATGGAAATCGAGATTTGTACATAAAAGTATATCCAAGTCTTTTTTCCTAGTAACAACATTAATACTAGATCCATTTATCAAGTACGTGTAGTTGATAATATTTCTATTCCTGGCAAAAGACATGGATGGCATTTACCTACATTGAAGCTTAGTCCCAAAGAATTGAATCACAAAACAAGAACATCTAGCTCTTTCTGGAAAGTATTATAATCTGTTAGTGACTCAATTACCCAGAAGATTTTCAAATCGTCAGCAAACATAAGGAACAAAAAATCTGGAATAACCAATTTTATTGGTTAACTCATTAACCAATAGAGAAAACAACAAGGGGGATAAGTGCCCCCCTTGAGGAACGCCTGAAGTTACCGCGACTGCTTCAGATTTACATCTTAGGATTTTGACACATTGGATTCTGTCAGATAAATATGATTTGAACCAAGATAGGATGGGTTCTTCAAATCCAGCTTTATATAGGACTTCAATTAGTATTTTATGGTCAACATGATCAAACGCTTTGGAAAAATCCGTAAAAATAACATCTACCTGAGTCCGTTTTCCAATAGCCGCCAATATAAAATTATGAAATACTATCTGATTTGTAGTAGCAGAACGGCTAGGCCTAAAGCCATATTGTTCATCAACTAAGATAGAATTAACCAATGGCTGAATACACTTTAGAATAAGCTGCTCAAAAAGTTTGGCAATATGATTTTGGATCGAAATAGGCCTATAATTCCATACATCAGTTTTATCACCAGACTTATATACAGGTGTGACTGAACTAATCTTAAACATAGATGGGAAAATTCCCATGTCAAGGGAGCGACGAAATATCAACCATAGGGGAAAACAAAAAGCGGATTTTATGTTAAATAGGAACGTCCCTGGCAGACCATCAGGACCAGCTGATTTTGAAGTTTTTAACATAGATAAACCCAATTCGACATCCTTTGTGGTAAAGAAACAGTTACTTGGTAGATTAAAATGAGAAAAAAGAAATATTTGGAATTTTGTTGGAAGAAGGAATGACGTATACGGTGCTGAAATATGAAGAGAAGAGGCTAGAAACTGATTCAGTGCCGGAACCAAACTTTTCATCAAAATGAACAGTATATGGAATTCCATCACTGGATTTATTTTACCGGACAAATTCCCAAAAAGACCGAGGATTGGTTATTAGCTTACACTCAGTTTGAACTAAGAACAATTTATAACAACTTTTGTATTCATATTTATAACGGGCCTGGAGATAAGAAAACTCGTTATAATCTTTTGAACAACGGGACACTATATTTGGCATGAGCGCGCTTTTTAGAGATAACTAAAGATTTAAGGTCTTTGGAAAACTACATAGGGAATTTAGATGGATAATAATTAACCTCGGGAATAAAATTCAATATGCAGAAATACAGAGCATCATACAATGCATTAATGAAATTATAAAAGAAAAAGAAAATCTTATTATTTATAATTATTTATAAACTTAACAGTCTTGTAAAAATATATACCTCCTTGGGATAGAAAATTTGAAATAAGCACTGCATGCCACTGTCTGGTTCTCGTGTTTATTATATAGACATCTACAAAGTTTTTTGGCAAATCAACAAAACACGGGTCGTTTGACTAGGGATCCCATACGTACCGCATTTTACCGCATTGTCCTGTATTTGAATAAAATGTCCCGGTGTCCCGACACAAGTATAAAAATAACACTTTTGTCCCATGTTATGTATAATCCATTTTGTATGTACATTATTTTAAAAATTAAATTCTTTAATATCATTAAGCTTTTTTAAATTTTATATTATTTTATTTTATACTTAAATGATAATTAATAATATAATTATAATTTATATAATTTTGAAGTATCAAATATTGTGTTTAATTTATTTTATAGTATATTTAGTAGCTGTGAGGAAAATGAAATATTACATCAAGGCCAAGTGTAATTTTAGCTCCCAAATGTTTATAAAGAATTTGTAAAACAAATAACACATATTTAATTTTGTAATATATTAATTGCTAAAATAAGTCCCCTCACCTAGTGGCGTAACTGGGAAAAAACCTAGGGGGGGGGGCAATATAATATATTTATTATTACCAAAACCCTGACACTCTCCCCCTCGCCAGTTAAAACATATTTTTATTGTATGTATTTTATACACTATATCTAATTGTTTGATTTTACATAAGTCTTTTAACTCGTTTTATGGTTTAGATAAACATAAATTGTAGGTAGGTTATGTAGTAGGTACCAATATTGTTAAATAATATCCATAAGAGTTCATTAGTAAAGGGTCCTATTTGTACTGTTGGATTATCTGGGGAGGGAAAAATTATACCTTTATCTCTCAAAAAATGGTCAGAGGGGGCACTTGCCCCTCCTTGCCCCCCACAATTACGCCACTGTCCTTACCCCCACCCCAAATTAATACCAATGTAAATTTCAAAAATAGGTATGATCTAAAATGTCCCGTGTTTTTAAAAAATAAATATGGGATTCCTACATTTGACAAATTATAAAAATATTATAACTTGATGTGGAGTATTAACAATTAATGAAAAACAATTTTTATTCCAGACAAACTTGTTTGAAAAAAATTAAAGAGAAAACAATAAAAATAGCTATGAATAAAAAACAGTGTGACCAAAGAGTTTTAATTATTTTATCACTGCCAAAAACGATAAGAACGGAGTTTATCAAACCTATTACAAATGATAGTGATTGACCATTGGAAATGTCCGAACAGTGAAATTGATAATTGTTATTGAGTGGAGATACTTAAGCCTGTTTGATAATCAGATAATTGTTTACGTTAATAAATATTAAAAATCTGTTGAGCAACAAATGATCTCAGTCGCCCTGGAATTTAATCGATTAGTTACTTATCGTCCGTTACTTTAGCACTAGGTACTGTATTATTGATTTTAGCGTACATATTACTTTACTCCGACTAATCATTTCGAACTTTGAAAGTTTTTATAGAATCATTCATTTGTTGTGAAATATGGTAAGTTTTATGAATAAATCATTATATTATCTTGATTGTTATATGCGCGCTTAATATAATGGTTTGTTTTTTTAAATTTTCGTTCATCAAATAGTTTTAAAGTATCTGTTGAGTAGGATATCCATTTCAATTTCATTTAACTTTTGGATTCAGATAAGATTTTTGATTTTGGATTGTAGATTTTAAACTATAGTAGAACTAAATAAATAGGTACATAACTGATATATTACTGTTGATAACTTGCAATTTTGGTACACTCTCAAGTTTAGATTTAATTAAGTTAATTTCAAAATGCAATTCTAAAAAAATATTCGCTTACATTTTAATTGAATAAAATTGCGTAAAAGATTTTTTAAGCAAAGTTCTAGTTAAAGATTGCCTATTTTATGTACTGCAAAATGTGTTTAAATTATATATTTATTGGTGCCTGACTAATACAGGTACATATTTTGTAGGTATTCTATTCAAGAGTTATGAAAATATTTGTTAAAATTAATCATAACCATAGAATACATAATGGAAAATGATTTAATTAAAATACTATATCATATTTAATTTATTTTTAAAGGGTACCAAGGTATGTGATATTGGTGATGATGTAAAAGAAACATTGAGAAAATTTCGATTCCGTAAAGCAACAACAAATGCTGCTCTTATAAGTGCGGCATTAAAATTATTAATATACCTAAATCGAATTACATTAATGTTTTCATTTTATGCGAATAGTGAAAGTAGACAGAGAAAAACAGCAAGTTTGTGTGGATGAAATACTAGACAATGTAACACTTGAAGAACTGAGAGAAATCTTACCTGGTCACCAGCCACGTTATGTGATTTACTGCTGCAAAATGGAACATGGAGATGGTCGTGTTTCATTTCCAATGTGTTTTATATATTTTACTCCAAGAGGTTTGTATTAAAATGTATTTTGAAACTGAATTTGAGTTTAAAGACAGTACTTTTTTAGATAGTCATATGGAATTGCAAATAATGTATGCCGGTACAAAAATGGCCTTGCAGCGAGAGGCCAATTTGACTAGAGTGTATGAAGTAAGGGAATTGGATGAAATGACAGATGAATGGCTGCAAGACTGTGTTATGGGAAAATAATATGTTTGTTTGGGTGTATTGTCAAGTATTATGACATATAATAATATAAAACACTAATTATTACAGTGTAATGACATGAAGTAGTACAATAATTAAAATAAGACAACTGTAAAACCATTGCCCTATAATTTAGAATCATTTAACACTATTAGTACACACCTTTCCAAGTTATAGTAAGTAATATTTAACACTTTTTTTATAATAATTTCTAGGCATTTATTTTTGTCACATTTATATATAATTATTAATTTATACTTAAACAATTTGACATATAATCAGATTTATTTTTATTTTATATACACATTTGACATACCTATTGAAATGAATTATATTAGAACCCCTTTAAACATTCCTTTTGACTTTTCAAATATGTGTGTGCCATGATAAACTAATATCCCTATTAATATGTTAATAAAATCCTGTTTTTATACAAATACTATATTTTGAATGATTTAAATTATATACGTGTGAATTTTATACAAAAATATTACAATAATAATCCATGTATCAGTTTACAAATATTATAAATTTATGGATTTTAAGTGAATTAATCCAATATAATAATTAATATTTTAAAGACAAGATAATTTGTTGAATTAATTTATGTTTAAATATTTATAACGACAATTATAATTTGTTATTAATTACATTTTTAAATTTGTTTACAATTATTATGTATTAATATTGTGAACTTGAATTAAACACTTTTATTGCTTTTAAATTATATTATATACCTTAAATTGCTTTTATTATTATTATTATTATTTTTAAATAATAATTTAAACATTAAGCGTGTTTTTATACTACGAATTAGTGTTAACTGTTTATTTGAAAAATTTCTGTGATCATAAGTCAACACTTTAAGAAACCCTTATTTAATAATTTGGTTACTGGATAACATCATTTTAATTCCTGAAATAATATTTAGTATCATTTTGATTTTTGGGAAAAATGAATGGGATAAAAGTATCATTTAAAAAGTCTATTTTTATTTATAAATTAGCTATATAAATTTAGAAAGGAAACTTAAAGTACAATTATTCATATTGTAAAAAAAAAAAAAACAATATGAATTTGACCAATAATTATTAGTATAGCGTATTTCTCAAGTGTTAACTTACTGTAAAATGTCAGTGAAGTGTATTTTCTATTAATAAGTATTTTTTATAAGTTATTATTAAGTTCATATTTTACAATTTTTTAATTTTATATTATCCTTTTTGATAAGGATTACTTAAAATTATTTTTTAAATTAATTATTACTATATATGAATATAAAAGTATTAAAAGTTTAAAAGTCATATTTTTCGTATTTATCAAATCAGTTATGTACTAATATTTCTATTATGTATGTACAATTGTTGTTTTATTTGATAAAGTTGTATATGCCTAAATTTACAATGAAGCATTTTACACTTGTTGATCTTTAAAACATATTAAATTATCAAATATGTAAATTTTATTTGTATAATTACAGTATATTTTATACCTTATGATACAAAATATAATAGTTAAAATAATGAAATAAATATTATAACTTAATAATAAAGCATATACAAAGCATATAAATACATGTCACCATCAAGAGTAACTTTAACATTCGTAAAGTATAATTTTACATAAAAAATAATAATTGTAATACGTTAAATGCTAAACAAAAATGTGGAAACAACACTGAACACATTATTAGGTTGATATTATATTGGTGTGTACATATAACATACAGACCTCAATGGTGGTATACATTTGCGAGAAGTACTCATTTATACACATAATTGTGTTTGTATGTGTATATGTATGTATATGTGTGTGCGAGGACAAAAATAAATTACTAAGTATTATGCCTAGAAGTAGTGTTTCTTTTTGTATGCATGGAAGTTTTCAAACTTTTTCGGACAACGTCCTTTTCGATGAGAGTAAACGCCATACTCGCACATTGGCATTAAACATTGGCCTGATGTAATGCAGCTGTTAAACAAAAAATTGTCATATTATGATTTTTCTTAAAAATATTAATAGATCTATAAATTATAGAAAAAATGATGAACACCCAAGACTTCATTAATGTGTTTTGACTGATAGCCATATCCATAAATTATTTTAAATTATTTTTGTGCTTATTTGATCCCTTACACTTTCAATTTTTTCGGGTATGCTGAAAATCTTATTAGTTATTTAACACAGAAGAGATGTCATTAAAACTTGAATAATTCTAAGACTAAAAATAATTTTTATTATTTATAACTACTTGCAAACAGGTAAACATTTTAATCAAATATAAAAGATTTTAAAGTTGGGTTTATCTTGAGCCAATTAATCTTTTATTGTTGAAAATTGTGTTTATTGTACACACTATTCAAAGAAAAGAATTAATCAAATCTGTCTCTCAAATCTACCTTTTCGGTACAGTCTTGTGGACGGCTAAATTAAGAGCCACCGAATCTAATGACTTATTATTTCTTGTTCAAGTTTTAATTTCACGCGTAGGAGGCTAGTAGGAGCTGATCGGGAAAAAAAATACAAAACCAGAGTTACCTGAGACCAATCGTCTTAGTTATTCCAAAAAAATGTTGACAAACATCTTTTTCGACTAGGTACTACTACAGATCTATAGATTTTGGATGTCTACAGCACTTCGGCAGTGGCGTCGAGTACATGATTTAAGTCAGGCAGATCTAATTTCGGGGGTTAAGTAACGTTTTGATCCACGAATCCAAATGTTTATAAAAATATCAAAATATCCTCAGTAGATCAAATTGTTTGGGGACATTTTAATCCGTATTGTAAAAAATTTAAATTTTCTGAGCGGATCAAAATGTGTTACATAATTTTTGGCGTAATGTGTGTCAAGTATTTATATTAGTCTTAGATAGGCTCCGGATAATGGAATTTCATGATTACTTGTATATCGATAAAAATTGACGAATTAGAGCATTTGCATCGATATAATGTTGAATAAAATTTTTTTATCAAATTATTATTATGTAAAGTATTTCATTGTGAGTAGGTGGATTGTTCTGAATTAAATCAAGATTTACCATAGATAGTAAAAAAAAAAAGGTAGTTCAACGCCACCACCAGGACGCGTCCTACAGACTGTGTTGGAAATAGATAATGCAAAATGTATCTAGATAAAGATGAAAGATAATAAGTCCAAATTCATCTAAATAAAGATAATAGATAAAAAAAATAAAATATCTAGATAAAGATAAAAGATAATTTCATTTTTATCTAGATAAAAATAAGAAATTTTCAAAAATTTTATTTTTTGGTCAATATTTCATATTTGTAATAATATTTTTGAAGACTCAATTATAATCAATATTATCAATAGATACCTAGGTGTTTAATGTTTATTGTAGTAATGTTGTGTACCTACCATTAAGCAGTATTTATATATAATGTACAATATTTAATGTTAGTTAATCACTAAAATGTTACACAAAAAAAAAAAAAAAAACAATGGAAATTGCTCAGTACGTATCAGGATGAATACATAAAAAATTATTTTAAGTTAACAATATTGTTTTTCATATAATCTTAATTTGATGATTTTCATTATTCTATAAGTAATTACGACTTAACGGATTCCAAGAGTGAAGTATTGACTATTCAGCGTATGAGTTACATGTGTATACCAAAATTAAATATCTACTATATTTGGAACTTCCATGGAAAAATAAGACATTAAGTTTAAAAATACCAAAAATATTTTCCCGACATGAAATACAAACAAAATGTCGTACCAAGAAATAATAATTACTTATTAATGATACACGAATTATGATTATGAATACAAAATCTATCTATATATATATATATAAAAGAAAGTGGGTTAGTTACAGAATTTATAATTCAAAAATGGCGGTCCAGCCAAAATTTAAATAATTGATTAATTATTAATATATATAAATATTTAATATTATATATTAATTAATATTAATATATTATATATTAATATTTTATATTTTTATAAATATTTATTAATATATTAATTTAATTATTTAAAATTCATACAGAAAATTATCTAGATAAGTAAAAATTTTATATTAGATAAGTAAATAAAAAACTTAGCGTTATTTATCTAGATAAGATAAAAGATGACAAAAAATCTATCTAGATAAGTCCCAACACTGCCTACAGTACAGACTTGACTACTAGAATTAAAGAAACAGTTGGAAAAAAATAACGAGATATAAATTTTTGAAACAATAAAAAATTTAATTTTTAACAAGATTTTATGCAAGTCCATCTTGACTTTTAAAGTATTAGTGGTTATGTCCCAGCAAAATAATGACAGTCATCGATCAAGTCGCGATGTCGGCAAAAAAACTTGAACGGTTCAAATGCTACTGTTAAAATCTTTTGCGTTACACAAAGAACATCAACACATTTTGGTAAGTACCACGAAATAAAAATATAATAAAAAAATATTGCTTACTATCTGTCCAGATGGTTGAAGTACATGTTGCCTTTTTTGTATCGGATGCACTCCCGTTGTTTATCGAAACAGTCGCATGAACACGAACCGTTGGCCAAATACCGTATGGTATATTCTGTGGGACACTTGCAGCTGTCAAACAACGAAATGTCAACTCATTATAAATATAAAGTAGATAGTTCGAGTACCTACGTATATGTGTGTGTATTGTGTATTTAGGCATACGTTGCGTCAGATCATCTTTTTTGACGTAAATTATTTTAATTTTTGTTTTTTTTTATTACATTTTTGATTATGATAGGACGGGCGATACCCGTTTCCACCAAAAGTGTATCATTCCCTTTTCCACCAATATCCGTTTCCATCAAATGAGATATTGACCACGTTTTTACCAAAACAATTGTATACTATGCTTAAATTAAAAGCTATAGCACAGAAATAACTTTATTTAACATATACTATTAATTCAATAAATGTAAAGGCATTATATAATATATACAATATAGGTTGGAAAATGTTAAATTTTATTTAAAAAAATGGTCAGATATAAAAAGATGAAAAAATAATATATTCTGATATACGATACCTTAGTTATGTAAATTGTAACTATATATATATATATATATAATTAGTTGATATTTGTTAATTGATTCAATAAAAAATTTAAAGTTGTTAAGTACTAGTGTTTTATTTCCACGTTTACTTTCGATAACTGTAGCCATCATAGAATTATAAATTTTAAAATTTACATTTTATTTTAACACACACGCAGTTGTAATGCACTATTTAAACTGTGTCATCTTTTCACTTGTTCATAAAGTATTTGACTATTTAGATATTATAATGGTTAATGGACATTAAAGTACATGCATAAGTACGATAACGGTTTAACATACAATTAAATATAATAAATTTACAATATAAATTGATTATATTGTGTGTATATTTATATATATTTTACATCAATCCGAAAAACTCATGAAAAGTGTAGGTATTTTATCTTATTTGGGGAAGCGGGTGGAAACGTTTATTGGTATAAAAGGGAAAGATCTACTTTTAGTAGAAACGTCTTACGCCCGATAGAACGTATACATTAGTATTCGGGAAAACAATTGACAAGGAAAACATTAATAGCATTGAAAACCCGTGGAATGCACGGGAGAACGAAGAGAGGTTTGTTGGATTACGCATGTAAATTGGAGACGAATGTAGGCTGGGCAACAGTATAAGGACAATTATTGAAAGAAAGCAAAGGATTGTGACCCAACAATAATAGTAATAGATTATTATAGTAACATTAATACAGTTTTTTGTGGGATCGCGAAATATTATTAATCACGGAAAAATGAGACAGAGGAATAGACTCGAAGCAATTATTTAATAGATTTATAAAACAGACATTGATTCTTATTAGCATTTACCTGTGCGAAATATTATTTTATAATATTATGAATATATTATGAACTCTAAGGTATGATTAACATTAGCGTAATTAGAATTAACATTTCGCAGGGCCTATAAGTATCGAGGCTAAACTTAGCCACAATGAGTCCCCATACTCAGTACCGTGCCTAGTATAATTAACTCCCGGTGCTAAGAATCATTTTTAGCGCCCCCACCCCGTCTAACAAAAATATTTGTACATCTATAGGCCATAAGGAGACTACATAAGAATTGGGGGTTCTACATATGTAACTACTTTTGTATTAGTTAAATAAATAAAAGAAATGACCAACAACTAAAGAACAATATAAGTACATACATAACTTGAGTAGGGAAAACAAAAAATATAGATACCTAATAACCTACCATATAAACCAGTATAATTAATTTACAAATCAAATTTATTCGCACAAAAAATAACTTATCTTTAAATAATAACCAATGAAAAGTTATTAGGTATCTATGTAACTTCGGTGTTCATGAACTATGATGTTATTAACTATCAACTAATATAGACACTATCATAGTTGGGTTCAAAATAAAATCATACTAATCGGTCCAAGTCGACATATGTTTGTTATTTTTAAAGTAACAATAATGTAAAAGTATATCATTGTTAATTTGTTATCGATGACGACGTCGTCATTTCGGTGAAAAAATAAAAACCAATACTAAAAATAAACTATCAACACCGCCGATTAGGAATCTTGATTCAGGACAATGTTAATGATGTCGATTACCCGTCGAGATTATGGTATTGAATGCGTTAAATATTATGAATTAAATAATACGGTTAGCTTTTAGTAAAATTACGAAGATCATGAAAAAACTTTTGATGCCCCAGTGGTTATGGCACCTGGTGGACGTGCACCTCTCGCACCCCCCTAAGCACGGCTCTGCCCGTACCTTAGGATAGTGTTTTTCACTGCTCACTACTATAGACTCAAATCTTCACAGGACTCATAATTTAACATCATACATGATTAAGAACATGGATCATAGAAAAGTGATCGAAAATACAAAACCCAATAGAAAACCGACTTTAACACACAGGCTAGTGCACAGGAATCGTCCAAGGGAGATGTTCAAAATTATGTATGTTATGTCAGGTAAAGAGTCAAATAAAAAATCGAAAATCAATAAATGTCAACAAATGTCTGAATTGTTTGAATTTGTCAGTGAAAACAAGTTTTATCGATGCATATCGATGCTATTAGCTACATTAACAACACTAATCGACAGTAGCTGGGAAATGCCCCCTCACCCGTAGTTATATGTATGATGATTTTTATCCGTATATTAAAGTAAGATAAACATCTTTATCTTCTTCCTCTCCATGATTTTATCCTGTAAGTGGTCCTTAAAATGTACAGCAGAAACGGTTTATAATGACATCGCGTGTTCTATGTACTATGTATCTATATCTATTTAGGTAGGTGAACTGCTATAGATACATTTTGCGCAGATCCATCAGAAATATCTATAGTTAATACTTAAAAAACATATGAAATTGAATATATCCGTTTGAGTTAGCTAAGAAATCACGTAGACATAGTTTACAGTTTTTTAGATAGAGGCTTTCTAAAAAATGCAATAGTAAGTAACCAACGATTTTTTAAATTCACTGTAGTAAAAATTGAATGAAATTACGCCCATGAGTCTGTGTTCTTATGTAAACGTCTTGTGTTGTATTAGAAATGTGTGCACATACTTGTCGGTCCGGTGCACGGCCGACGACCGTTCGGCGAACACCGCAGTCGCAGTGGGCAACGAGTCTCTGGGCATTTCATCGTCCATCTTCGACTGGCACTCGCACTCAGTGTGATTATAAAATAGCAGCGATTTCTGGTTCGACATTTGTTCGGGTGACTGGTTGTTGTCTAACGCAGGTATGGTCTGTAAACAAAAAAAAAACAAAAACAAAATTAAATCAGCCAAGATGTTGCTTCTTATGCGTATTTAAGTATATAAGCATCAGAGGACGAAGAACGTCGAGTAAACATTTAGGCAGTGGCGTATTTATATACAGTTCTATAAGCACGTGTCTACAGCGGCAATTTTTTAAAGATTATACTTTTTACGGAATTGCATATCAAATTTATATAGATACGTTTTTAGATTTCTGATATTGTAAAATATGTAACCTTGGTGTATGAAAAAATAGTAGACAATAGCTTACCCCATCAACAGTTATTGGACAGCTATTTTCATAATTTCTAATCACCATTTATATATTTATATATAATATTCGGGAATGTTTATGAAAGTTATTGTTATAGATGATTTTAGTAAATAAAATATCTAGCAATAAACAATTATCCTGAGTTCAATTTCTGTTGCCGTGTGGGTAAATCATTTGTACGTAAATCATTTTCGTTTTATTTTATTTACTAACTTATTATTATTTATTGATTATTTTTACTATTTTTCTTTTCTTTTTTTTTTTATGAAGAAAGCGGTTAAGCTGTGATTAGTATATATACATTTCCAAACTAAAGAGTGATAATTTGCAAAATGTATTAAACTAAACACAAATTGTCTAATTTTTTTTTTTAAAAAAAACTTCCTCTACTTCTTGTAGTAGTAACAGTTCTGTAGTGACTACTAATAATAGGCAAAAGTAACTAATACAAACCGACTTAGCCAATTGTACTGTGTGACTAATTTAGTTACTCTACGTGGTATAATTAGTAATTTGACTAATATTTTATTCGACTTAAACTGATAAAAAATTAAACAATTTAGCATTGTTATTAATAGAGAATGACATGTTAAAATAATAACATTTTAAAGATTTAATCGACATTTTTGCTACAACCAAATGTCGACGAAATAATAATTATCATATTCAAGTTTGAAGAATGTATATTATTTATTTTTTCTAGTTATTAATTATTAATAAAAATATTTTAACTTTTAAGAAATTAAGTTTAAATATTTAAATATTTATTACTTTATGAATACATATTTTATAAAAAATAAATTATAATTTATTCTAATATTTTAGTTATTGAGTGCGGCAATTTTTAACAGGCCTACAAGTGGGAAACATATAAACACGCCCCTGCATTTAGAAGGTTCTGAAGGTGTGCAGATATTAGCATCGAGGTTTCGTTCCCATCGCATACATGTTTTTTAATAAATGTGCTTAACCTAATTACAGGAACCAAAAATACAGTTAGATAATGTACGACGTAACAAATGTATTTATATGTACACATAGATAACATAATATAGATTACGGTATAGGCGAGTTTTAAATAAGTATGTATTACGTATTATCATTTAGTGACGTCGTACCGTTTATATTAATTTACGTCGTCCGTCAAAGTCGAAGCAGGCCGATTTTTATCCTTAGAGTACCAGCTCGTGAATAATTTCTTCGTTTAACTGCGCGAAAGTCTGACACACAAAATTAAGCAATTGATTGTTTATACGTTTTCTACAAATTATAGGCCTCGTTTGATTTTTAACACGAATAGTGTATAAAGAGAAAGAAAACAAAACATAACGTGAGGTAACGATCTGTATTGACCATGTATTATGCACAACGACCTGTGATTCCCATACAACGTTGATACATGTATAATATGTGCTGAATAGGCACATGTTAAAATCAACAGAAAAAAAACCGGTCAACACTCGTACATTATATGGTCGGACGTATTTTTAATTTGGATTTTGATCCACATGTCATAATGGATATTGGATAAGCTTAAACTTTACCTTTTGGACAATAAGATGTACATAATGCTATTAAAGTTTTAGGTACACACTTGTCGGCTGTTATCTATCCATATGACCATTTATATATTGAATTTAAAAAACGGAATATATATTATAAAACCTTGGATTTTAAGTGGATACATGGCAGACAAAAAAAGGACTGGCTCAATATTGGTACATCAAACAATTATTCATAAAAAGATATTACCACTATTATTATTATTATTATAATTATTGTGTATCCTAAACTCAGACGTTCATAACGAACCGTTGAATGGATATGTTGACAGTTGAATGAAACAATAAAAAAGTTGTGGGACAAAACGTGTGTTTTTCTAGTTAAAGCTCGATCTGGTTTATTTTCTAACTTACCAAGTCCTATTGTTTTGATTTTTTTCCCATCGCGTATCCTATGTAGTATGTGTGTGTGTGTGTGTGTGTGTGTGTGTGTGTGTGTGTGTGTGTGTTTTTCCTTTTTCGAAGACGGAAATAATCATAACTTGGAACACTTTCGGAGCAGAAATCCTGACAAATATACGAGTACATAGTACTCGCAGAGATGCAAGAGTTCTACGCAAAAAACAGACGCTAATTCGGGACCATCTCAAAGCGGATACGGGAAAAAAATCGTGAGTGTGTAGATGTTACACCCCGCAGTCTCATCTCCGATTACGACCCCTGAATAGTAACCAAAAAAACCCGACCTTATCTGTATGAGCAGGTAAAATGAGACACATATGCACACGCTGGCACACTGCATCTGTTTAAAAATATTATTTATCGAAGGTTTGCCCGGAGGTGTTTGAGAGGGAGGACACCCTGTAGAAAGTCTTTCGCATAAATAGGTGATGACATGTCTACGTATACCTCTATAAATCATAAAGAGACCGTCGCATCGTCTACCGATTGTTTGGTTTTCGTACCGGTACAATAGACTCAGAGGCGTATTTACGATCTTGGCGCCCTAGGTATACAAATTAAATATGGCATCTTTTTTTCTCAGAAATCCCTTTTATTAATAGGTGTAATTAAGGGTGTAAAAGACCCAAAAATCTTTTGTTTCCTCCTTTACCTCTTTTTTTTTCCTTGGTTCCATTTATTTTTAATCTTCTACCATAGGCCAAAAAACATTTTCATTTTACCTTTCAATTTATTTGTAATAATTAAATTTATTATAACATAAATTTGAAAACAATTTAACTTCTAGTGTCAGTACCCTTCTACCCTTCTTTTAGGTATTTGGTATTTGGTGCCCCCGGTTGATTGCCCCATTTGCTTCCCTAAATACGTCTCTAACAATGGTACAGTAGTGAAATATTTGGTCTTCGTCTAATTCCTTTATATTATAGAGGTTGTAAAATCCGATCCCGCGCCGCGTACGATTAGAGATCAAACGATCCGTACATGCGCGCGAATTTATATATAATAATTTTAAGAATAAAAATAATAATAATAATAACAATAATAATAATGTAACATGCGCAGAACTATGTACAGTACAAAAGGTCTCGGGCCCGTCGAGGGGGATGAATAGATATTTCGCGATGAATACGTTTTATATAACCACGGGACGAGTTAACACTATGTCATTGGCACATTAAATTATAAATGTACGTGTGCGTAAACACGCATTTCGGGTGCGCACCGCATCTGTCTTTATTATATTACATTATATTATTGTCGATTACGACCAGACAACTGTCGAGTTCTCGCGGGATTATAGATTTTATGAGTCAGATAGGTTTTTATAGTTTATTAATGGTGCAAACGACTGTACTGGGAGAGGGTGTCATATCGCATTAATATGCGTCTGTAGTCGACACAGAATGTTGAAACGCAAATCGGCGTAAATTAATAAAAACTCGTAATCAGTCATTGCAGGACAAAATCGCAAGACGACAAATTGCTAAACATTTATTTACTACTCGATTATTACTTTATCATTTCAGTGATGATAACCAGGATTGGGATTTTATAGTATTTGCATGTTTCATATGAGATGCTTAAGGAATATTAGAACAAGTTAAAAATGTGTTTAATGGTACAGAGAACTCAAATTAAACATTTTATTTTGTATATTTTTGCATATTTTGTGAATTTTTTGTTTTAGTGGTGTTTCTACTTGTTTTTGAATCAAAATTGGTTATATTTTAGGAAATCATATTTTATTTATTAGAAGTATTTTTAGATTATTATCAATCGAAATGTTAAATTAAATTAATGGATCAAGTTTTATTGTGTTATCAATCTATAACGCGAATGCTTTGATACGTGTCGTATTGTTTGTATTTTCGTCCTTTGGTTGAATGTGTTGTAACTTTGTTTTAAAATTGCTCTCCAAGTCTTCTATTCAAAATTACTACAAGTTACGTGTGCAGTTCACAGTTTGAAATGAGTAGCAGAACGGGTTGGATCTCATTTCAGTACAGTGAATAAATAAATAACAGGTGTTAAACAAGTATTTAAAAAAATTCCGAGTTGTGTAAAATTATTTGAAAATGAACTTGCTGGATTAAGCTTGCTGTCAGAATCAATTATTACGCGATGAGGAACCTCAATGAATGCAGCATCATATTATTGCTAAAACTTAAAAGCTGTTCGTAATGTTATCGGATTACTCGAACCGATTAATGCGATTAGCTAGGTATCAAAAAGCATATGTTTAGACAAACCCAATATTGAAAATAACTTGGTATATATAAAATTAAATATTTTTACTTTAGCTATAGTCAATGATAAATTGCAAGCAAAAAATCTATCCGTGACCTCATTATTAAATTTTATTGAAAATATAGCAGAAACATTTGAAATACTAAATGATAAAATTAGTACTGCTATAAATCTTAAATTAAAAAACGTTTTAGAAAAAAAATAGTGGTTCTTCTAAACTAAATCATATTTAAAAAATATATGGATGGTGAAGAAAATTACTGGGTGAAGTTACATTATGCAACTATGTTGTTTGTGTATTTAAAATATGCACCAATTGTATCTGTGGACGTCAAACACTCATTTTTGTCGTACAAAACTTTATTGATAGACAATCACTGAAAGTAATTTCAAAACTTAAGTAACTAACAATGATAATTTGTATGTGATAAGTTAATTATTAATAAATTCATTTCAGTTTTTTCGTATATATTTTGTTGTTTTTATTGCATATTTTTTAG